GGAATCCGAAGCGTAAACGCTTGGGCAAATATTCCGAGACGTGATGTACATCAAGTGTTTGATTCCAAGTCATAAAAGGGGAAGATGAGTCACAGGAATCCCCATGCCCCGCTTCAATTCAAAAAAAAAAAAAAAAGGGGGACGATTCCTTGGAATACATATCGGTTGGGACGCATCGGGGACAGGGTAAACGAGGGAGAGGGCGGAAAAATGGAGGAAAGAAAAATATCACAGTTGTGTCCCATCGCAAAGTACCAGGGGGAGTCTCCGGATGTCTCTGGCATGTTCCCTACATTTCCCTTTTACCTCCCCCTTGGAGATTTTTTTTTTTCCCTCAAAAAGCCCTGGCACTGAGAGTCAACGCCATTGTCATTTTCAACCACCCCTCAAGTTATAACTGGAGGGAGTTTATTGGGCTCCTCAGCTAGTAGACACACTCACACACACGATGGATTCGCTTCCTCTACTAGTTCGACGACCCCAAACCCAGAGAGCCCACCGTAAAAGAGGGTCGAGACTTGAATAATGATGGACGTGTTGCCATTCTGCAACAGCGTCACAGTTTACGTATCCTCGGCTCACTCTCCCCCCCTCATTCTGTCTCACATCGACAATTCTCTCTGTGTCATCAGCATTTAATTCGTACGGGGCAATGCAGTCGTTCAATGTCCAATTCGATTTCTACCCCTCCGACTACTGTTCGTATCGGCCAATTTCACCGATTGCCATCGGACTAACGTACCCGTACTTTCGTTAAATCGAATTTTCCTATTTTCTCTGATCAATCAGTCTGCCCGAGCTATTTTATATCTCTATTTTTCCTTCGCCGTGGTATTTAGCCTCATCGGGCCCATCCTCTCGGAAATTTTCAAATTAACGGAATTGAGTTAATGCCAACGTTGTTGCATTATTTAACACGACTAACTCTCGTCGGGTGATTACGTATTTACATTCAATTTCACCCAAGTTCAAAATAATTCATTCATTCAAAAACCCGTCGCTGTTTTCAAAAATTTTTCAAACTACTATTTCCATCTGTGAATTACCATTATTCATAATTTTTCGTTAAGAATAAATAATAGATGTCCTATATTTCAATTACCCTGTCATTTATTATTAGTTATCAATTACTACCGATTCGTGAAAATTCCATCAATTCAATTTTTTCTAAAATACCCGAGGGAAATAAAAACCAATCTCCCTCAGTACCATCTCCGAATCCGCTAATCAAAGATGCAACAGTTTCATTTGAAAATGGCAATGATTTCCACGGACTGCAGTCTGCTTCTGTATGAGCCAGTGGCTATTTAATCTCCATCATAATTAGGGTCTCCAAGAGGTCTCTCTGAACGAACAGTGAGGAAGAAATCGTTCAAATATTAGCATCATTAGTCCACTTGACTTGCAACCCACCAAGAGAAAAAAAAAGAGTAAATAACAAATAGCCATTCAACATTGACATTCGTGAAGAAGTTTAAAGAAAGAATAATATTTACATTGGTAATCTCCCGATTCGAAATGGTTTTCCAAGAGGCAGTAGGATCGATTAGGCTCGTGGGCAGGCCCGAGTGGAGTCTCCACCCCAGTGAAATCGATGAGAAACTCGAGTGAGATAGAGAATCACGGAGGAAACTATGTATATAACACAACTAACATGTATGTGTATGTGCAACACTGCATGCCTCCTCTTCTTGGTTCGTAACGTTCGCCCGAGGGGGTTGAGGGGTTTAGGGGGTGGCTTTGGCTCGATGCTCGCAATAATTTATGAGAGCCCTAGAGCACCTCCTGATTTAGGTCCCGATTCGATTCTCTCCGTGTTTAAGGGTAGAAAACCATTAAATCCATGACTATACAACAGCCACGGTATAACTCCGAGTGCACCTAAAATCACACGTTTGTCTCAGGGTCTCACCTTTCACGTTTAAATGCCAGTAATCAGTGAATGAAATTAACCAGAGCTCAACTCACAAAAGCGTCTCACTTTGCTTGTCAGCCATAAATAAACTCACAAGCACGCAATTCAACGATGGCCTTATCAATCTAGTAATATCTTATCCGCGCGTGGCTATCCCTATCTCTCCCACTCCACACCCATCCGGTAGCATGAGAATCGACCTAAAAACTCTCGCGTCACCAATTTTCTTGTTTTTCTTTTATCAGCCACTTTTTCATCATCAATCTTAACCTCTCAGACTACACTCACGAAAATTTCTCCAACTTTCGGTCTTAATGTCATCAGAATTTCCAATTATATGAGCCTTAACTGAATTTTAATTAAAAACGGTCTCTTAATTTACAATTGGGTTCTATACATACGTACGGTACGTGATGATTGATTTTTCAATGAATGCTCATCGTCAAAATTTCACATCAACCACAATAAATTTTTCAATAGATTGTAAATTCAGGAAAATTGTTGGATAACTTTTAAAAATTCACGCGACCCCATATATCTGAAAACAAAATAATTATAATCTCCATGAACTTAATTGAATCATTACTGAAGAATTATTATAAATTTAAAGTACAATTTCCTTACAGTGCTCCCCCTATTATTGTCCTTTAAATAATCACGCCGAGGGAAATCACGCTGAATGACTCACGTGTCATCGTGAACCGGTAATTAAGACTCCAGAAATAATTTCCAGATAGGAGATTTCATATTTCATGCGCTCATTACCTCGTTGGGGCTCGTTAATCAGCTGTGCGAGCTTTGAAGTTGCCCCAGATAATGGTGAAAGGGAAAAGGAGAAACCTTTAAAAAAAAAGTCATGAAAACACTGGGTAAAATTCGACTAATGAATGCACCTCTTGCATCTCGGGGACTAGAGGTAGGTGTTTTCAGTTTGAAAAGGCAACTGCAAGAGTGTGAGTAACATAGACACTGCGTGTACATAACGCAAAAGGGTGAGAGAGGGGGTAGAGAGATTCAAGTGGTATATCCACAGGTAGTTGACTTTGCTGGCCGTGTTTTCTGGGAGCAAAGATTCGCAACTGGTGTGCATTCGCCCGCGCGCACGCCCACACCCACCCTCTCCGTCGCCATTCCCTTTACCATTCCCCATGTGTTGGTGTTGAAGCGTATTTATGTGCGATGGAGTTATTCTCTCTTTTGAAAAAAACCCCGGAAAAGTAGGATTTACGACTAACTCCTTGCGGACTTGACAACAAATAAACCCCAATGGTGAATTTGTCACGTGAATTTATCCACATAAACGCTGATATTTGTTCTCAAAAGAGTCCATCGATACTGGAGATAAAGAGAAACGAAAAATCAACTTTAAAAATTGTCAAAATCACATCACTATCTCACGGATTGATAAAAATAAAGCAATTTCACGAGTCACGCTAGTCCTGTTGTTCCCCGAATTCCCCGAACCGCGGGGTGTAAACGTAAAGCGCAGAATGTACGGTCCTTCGGGGATAATGATCGATTAATAATTCAGAGAGAACAGGGGCTTCGTCGTGTGATTACCATCAGGAGTTACACTTCCGCATTGAACCCAGCTAAAACAATCGGAGAAAAAAAAAATAGAATGCATAAAACATTGACCCTTTAAATCCCCTCAACCCCTGGGGGCCCGGCGGAACGAAATAAAACCACATATTCCTCTCCCTCTTTCATTAAAGAACTAGTGGGGTTTCGAGGGGGTATAGATGCCAGTGAAATCGACCAAGCCTCGGCCAGGTGTTCAACAGCCATATGTGTGTACCGTTCGATTGAACGAGGAGTAAAAAAAAAAAATAAATAAAGGAGAGCTGAAGGGAGAGGGTTCAGAGGAGTCGCGTTGGCGTGGGTCAGTAGACGGTGAAGGGAGTAAAGGCCAGTGGGATATTCGATACGTGGCGTTGAGGGGTGGTGGTGGTACCCAAGAGTTTGCTAGCGTTCCCCAGCGTTCCCTAGCGTTCCCTAGCGTTCCCTAGCGTGTCCTAGCGTGGCACGTGGGGCAATACCAGGTGTTGCCTCGGCAGTCGCTCGTACGGGTCGATTATCCCCATTTGCGCATGTGCCAGGAGCCACCGCCTGACACCCCCTCTCACTTCTTGGTGCTCTCACACATCCCAACCAATTCTCCAACCAACTACAAATGTCTTTCAGCCTCGATTTTTCTCGCATTGTCCGCCAAAGAACGGAGATATGAGAATAAAAAATAAAAAGAACGATTGCTCTAGCAATTTTTGTTTTTTCGCCCTCTCATTCCCGATCTTTTGTGAATTTCTTCATTAATTATAATTTCTGAAAGCCTCGTGCTCTGGGGTAGCGCATAGCTGGACAGCACTGGGAGGAAAAATCGGGGTGAGCCGCAGTAACCCAGTGGTATGAGGAGGGGGATGAAGTGGTGGTGAGGGACAAGGGGATGGAGCAGTAGTTTTGAGGAGTAGGGGTAGAGATGGATGTATGGAGGATGGAGAAGGAGGAAGTGGAACGTCTGCGCGGAGGGTTGAAAAGGCTCTATGTATTGTAGGCAACCCCTCACATTTCTAAATGACTCGGTGTGTGTTGGTGGGCTCTGCCACCGCCTGACAGTCTCTGCTGCACCCCGTACGGGTATTGGGAAAAGCCCCAAACCCCGCAACAATCGTTCGGTTCCATACACCGTCAGAGACAGCAGTGGAGTTAACATCATCCAGTGGCAAATACAAATTCATTGATAATACCACTGAGACATCGACAACGACGACATCGACGTCCTCTTCATCGTTATTCATCATCCTGATCATTTGAAATTCTTGTATCAAGGGGATGACACGATCTCCAATTTTGACATTGAGATCAGTCTTGAGATCAGCGAGAAGTTAATCAGTGATTGAGTGAGGCAAACTGAGGTGCTACAGCAAAAGGAATAAACAACGATGATAACAGTGGAGGATATGTGGTTAGCTGTGCTTTGAGAGCCGAATGACGAGGTACCGTGGCTCGCTTACGCCACCGAAGCCGGCTAACGCGAGTCACCACCAGAGGAGGCTAAAAATTTGCGTTAAACGAAGCCGACGGAGACGCCGTCGGTGTCGCGTTGTCGGTGGTGAAAATCAAATAATAAATGGTGTTGGTGGTGGTTATAGTGCTGGGTGTTAACGAGTTCAAGTGATACTGCACTCGGAAGATTGAATTACCTCGGTAATCTCCCGAGTTCAATTATCCCTGAAGTTAATACAATAGAGATAAGAGATAATTGAGGCAATTCAAAATGCCGCGCTGTTTGATGGCTAAAAAATGGAAGGCTTATCCGTGGCCGGACAGGCAGGATGACGATGAGAGTAGTACGGCTGAGGCCAAGGATACCATCGAGATAACGAGCACTGGTAGAGAGTTGATTGACACCGTCCATGATAGGAGACGAATGATGGTCGATACCGAAGAGGAGGAGATTGACGTTGTTGGTGATAGCACGAGTGACGGCAACAGGGCTAATCAGCAGACATGCTGGGGTCCACACAGCCCCACTGCCGGCACCACAGCACCTAGTCCACCACCTCTCAATGCCTCGGGAGCATTATACTACCATGGTAAGCCCAAAATCCCATCAATATTCATTATCATTTATTCTATTCATCTATTCCCATAACTGCAATCACCCTTTGCGCCACTTATCCTCTATGCCACGCCCCAAGTTCACATTTATCCCTCAGAAAAATATAGGAGGAAAGGAGAAGTATTAAATCCCCTCGTGAAAACAACGTTGAAAAGTTTTCATAACTTTACGGATTTGTTTCATAAAGTTTGTTTTACCATTTTTCTTTCCTCATGTTTTTTTTTCAGTTTTTTTTTTTTAAACAGTTCCAACGACTTTTCGTGGATGACGCTTGTGCCCACCCCTCCGGGCGAGGCCGCGTGTTGCGCAGACTTTCGCGTGTTACCACTGTCTCGCTCGGCTACACTCATTCTTTCATCTCCAGTACTCAACCACCGACCCTCAATTCCACCCCCTCTGTGTCTAAACTGTCCGGAATGAGGGGCGGTGATTCGTGCCATCCTTGAGGAAGAAATCCACCCTCGGAATGACATACGTGACAGATAAATGTGTGTTACCACTTACATGTACGATACGCACATTGTATCAATGAGGGGAAGAGGGATGACTCCAACTAAAACGCTCATGAGACGTGATGGAACTACCGAAACGTCTCTGAGCAACCACTCTAATGTCTCCTGTTATCTTATTGTCCGATTGGATTACCAGTGTCCTCCGTATAAAAGTCCTGATTCTCTCTCGTCTAGGAATCTCTTCTTATTTTTTTTTCCATTTAACTAGCAGAGCACGCCGATGTTACACAGATGAGATTCTCAAGATAGATGGACACGAGGACAATCGAAAGTTTCTTTTCTTTTCTTTATTGAGTCTCTCTCCTCGGATTGAAGTGATGTGGGTGCACCCCCAATGTCTACATCAGTTTCGAGGGGATAAATGACAGAAATATTATCGCAACTCATTTTTTATTTCAACCTCTACTAGTGGCCATTCCTACTGCCAATCGAAGGAGTGTTAATGAAAATAAATGAGTGTCAGGTAGTTTCCACTGGTTTAATTGCTGTCAGATTGATTGACGGCACCAGCGGACTAGCCTGACGGCTTATCACTCTGGCAAATGGATTAACGCGTGCGTCAAACAGTTATTGCGGGACGAGCCTTGAGCTTTGCCGGGGGGACGAATGTAGAAAATTTTTTAAATCAAAATGAAACCAGAGAGAAATGGTATAGGAGAGTATGGCGTCGGTTGCTCTCACCTTTTGCCCTCGTGCTTTTACAGGGGTTCCTTTTCGATCCGATCGGCGCATTGCCAGTTTAATGCCCAGACCCGCCGATTCTACTATAACCCTAGCCTTCTACTCCTCAACTTTCATTTTTCCCATTCCCCCACGAATTTTCATTTCTTCTCATTCTCTCCGTGCATATAGCAAACTATTATTACTCCCACGCGATAAAAGTAACCTTTGTGCCAGGTTTTTTCCACCCCTCAGGCCCTAATCTCAATTTCTTACAAAAAAATAAAACTAAAAATGAAACTGGTAAACTGACCTTCAAGTACAAATATCACCAATTCATATATCCCATGATATTATATTTTGCACACAAATCGATTATCGCGAAAAAGACGGTGTAAACTTACTCAACAAGTGGTCAGTTGGCCTCTGTGTACGTGACGAGGCACTTGTACGTTAAAAAAAAAAAACCAAACAAACAGCACCATTTTAATCTGAAATAAAACGAGTCTCTCCGATAGGAGAAATATCAACATTTTGAGGAGAAAATAAATTTCCAATTGAATCATCAGATTGAATGCGACACTGTGAGCAAAGAGATTGGGTTCTGTGGCCTATCCAGTGAGAGTAATACAATCGTATCACCGAGTAGATAGATTTAATATCGGTTTTGGTGAGGATCAAGCGGATTGTGAATAGAGAGTGGCCTCCTCGAAACACCCACGGGAACAGTGGAAAATATCAACAGCCCGGCGGCGTGCAGCCGAGCGTCCATTCGATGTTATTGATCCTTTCCCCTTCTGTTGATGAAATGCATGTCTAGATACAGACTAGGACCCTCTCCTACCTCTTCAACAACCTACCCGTCCCCCCCCTCACACTCCCATCCACATCAAAAACACCCATCCACCCATCCACCCCCTTCGAGTTCTATCTGTTGACTTCCTTTTATTTCAAGCCAATAATAGCTAGGCCAACCCGGAGTCGAAGATCGATAGCACAATTTTCTGATTTATTGTTTTCCATGCCCTCCCTCACCCCTTCGCCCGCCCACCATTATTTTTTTTTTCCATCTCACACAGCCACACATTACATACGTATTGTACCTGTGGAAGTGTGAAACGCCTTGGCGTGTAACAAATTGGATTTTAAACGAGAGCTCACAGGAACCATTCCTCGTTAATTTGCATTTTGCCTGCATTCCATTTTCCTACCGTATTCGCTTATATATTTTTTTTTATTATAAATCAATCTAACGGGGTCTCATTTCATTATTAATTAACGGTGCAGATGTGAGAAGACTGGGAAAATGGGAAAATGGAAAAAGTGTTGTCGCTTTCACGTAAATAAAGAATTTGCGATGGAGCCAACCAAGTGGCACCCTCCGATCGAACCTCAAAACGGCACGATCTTGATAACAATCACGTGAACGTTTTGAATTTTTCTTTTTTTTTCCACTCTTGTACTGTGAAGCGAGTGTCGTTTTGAACGACAGATGCAAGGCCGTCACGTATTATTTCACCCATATTTTCTTCCTCCTTTGCATCGAATATTTTTCATGCTACCGTGCAACAGATACATGCAGGGGTGGCCTTTTTTCCTTCCTCATTTACGTGCATAATACTGTGATTATTTCTACAATAGTTCATGGCTCTCAACCACCGGTTAAACTGGTGGCTGCCGTGTGTATGTGCAGCATGTGCAGAGAGCACGATAATGGCGGCACATGGCAGAAACAGCTGTCGCACGATCCAGGAAATGGAACGGGCCTGCAGCAGTCACCCGGGGGGGCTGATTCATCATGATTCAAATATTTATATCGTGAGGAGGGAGGGGAATCCTCCATTCATTTTCCCCCGTGGAAAGTCTATCAGTTTTTCCCAACATTTCAATCCATTTTTTACACGATTTTAGGAAAATATGGGGGAAAATTGAGTGAGGATAAATTATTCTGGTTTAATACAATCAGACATGCCGCTGCAGTCAATTTTTAAGGCTCATATTCAATTGAAGATTGAATTAACGTGGGGAGCTTTAATTCTGGTTTATTTATAGTAGAGCCTAGACTATTTGAGTTCATTTGAATTTTCGCGGAACGGTGAAATTTAATGGATTTTGTTAAATATTCCTGCTAACTCAGGAGTAAATTTTAATAAAAATTACTCTCCTCCTATTTCTGCGTTGTCATTAAACGTTAAATTCCTCCACGAACTCGTCTCTATCTCGAGAAGGTCTCAAGATCATTATTCGAGGGAAAATCCTTGCGGGACCAGAGGCGTGTCCTGAATGAATAATGTACCATTCCGGTGATCGGAGCGATTTATTACACTCCTCAGTGGCAGACACTATATCGGGTTTTAAGAAAAGGCAATGTGAATGCTTCTGTTCAGGCGAGTTGAAATTCCAAATTGGCACCGGGTGGCCGGTGGGGGTGGACGAGAAAAAAAGAAGAATACTAGTAAAACGATCACCCAAGTATGAGAGGGAGAATGTCATTGGTGAAATCCGACGAAAAGTTTCCGAGAGATGGAGAATTTCGTCTGTACAGACTGTGGAATCCGCTTTGGGAAAATCCTCGAGGACATCTTAGAATTTCAAACTTTTTCCAGTTGCCCCTTTCGACAAAGGGTCGTTGATGTTTTCAAATTCAATTCCATGTATCCTCTCGCACCGTATCCCTGTTTTCCATGACAAACACCAGAATTTTTCCCTGGTGAGCCCCTCGGCATTTGAGCAGTCAGAAGATAAATCGTAAATCGTGTAGTCGCGTGCCCATCATAAGTACACACAGGGTGATATGATGCAGATGATCCCGGGCTAGTGTCACATTAATACCGAATATATCTCCCTTCCACTCGATCAATCGAGTTCAATCCCTCGGTAGCGGTTACGCCTCACTAGACCTTTTCAACCATCCCACACATCCCTCACCCCCTCCTCCCATTCGCACTAAAACCAGTCCCGTCAACAATTAATCTCAAAATAACCATTTAAACTGCTTGTACCTTGCAGGCTATGCCCACGAGTCCTGGCTGAATCATGAGGAGCCCCCAAAATACGCAACCCTGCGGTCAGCAGCAGAATTAGCGAGACCAGTAGCTGATTCACCACCACCTCAGCATGATCATCAGCCGAACATTGTCCACCTCACCACAACCCCGGCATCCCAGGCATCCCAGCACAGTATGAACTTGCCTCGCAACAAGAGCCTATCGATGTGTTTCACCAGTACCGGTACAGCCCTCTCCCTTCCCCCAAAGAAGAAGGACATCTACCGACCCTACAGCCTGCAACCCACCACTGAGATAATCCGAAGTTCCCCAGAGGAAGAGCTATCAGCAGCCCAAGCAATCCTCGACTTGAGTGCCTCACCCGCAGCACCAACGCATTCCCTCTTCATTCATACCCTCTCACTGCCACCACCAGCACCAGCGGCTCAGCCAGCAGTACCAACCCCCCAACCCATCCAACCAACACCAATACCGGTATCAGTTCTGGTGCCAGTACCCCACAATACTCAAACACGTCAGGTGGCAAGCCCGGAGCCGCGAACTCTTGAGGAAACCCCAGACGACGCCAATATCTCCAACGGTGCTAGCAACAAAACCGTTGCTTACACCTACGAGGCCTTCTTCGTATCCGATGGAAGATCAAAGAGACGCTCAAGTACAGCTGCTGCTGTACCCGAGAAGGAAGCCGCCCAACCAGAGAGGCCAAAATTCACGTGCACCGAGTGCGGCAAGCAATACGCAACATCATCAAATCTATCGAGACACAAGCAGACTCACAGAAGTTTAGACTCGCAATCAGCCAAAAAGTGTATTCACTGTGGCAAAGCATACGTGAGTATGCCAGCCCTGGCAATGCACGTGCTGACCCACAAATTGGCCCACAGTTGTGGCGTGTGTGGTAAAATGTTTTCGCGTCCATGGTTGCTGCAGGGCCACTTGCGCAGTCATACGGGTGAAAAACCGTACGGCTGTGCACACTGTGGCAAAGCATTTGCCGATCGTTCGAATCTTAGAGCCCACATGCAGACACACTCGGCTGACAAGAACTACGAGTGCTCAAGGTGTCACAAAACATTTGCCCTCAAGTCGTACCTGAATAAACACCTTGAGTCGGCTTGTTTAAGGGACGATGAGCTACCGCCCCAGCAGACGACCAACGGTCAACACTCGCCCCCATTGAATCGTGGATTGTAGCAGCACTCCGGTGACGATGATTTGTCAGAGGCTGAGAGCTAACGACAGCATCCAGTAAATACCAGTGGAAAGCTTTTGGAGTAGATCTTTATTTTTCTTTTGTTCTATCCTGATTTAGACATTTAGGTAGAATTGCCGAAGGCTCTCGATGAACGACTGGTGGCGTCATGCAGCCCTTCTCGGGCCAGCAACAGGGGGCCCTGTGGATTAGCAACAAGTGCACGAATTACGTGTTACTCACCCTGAAGACCTCGCCAATTCACTGACTCATAATACGATAAAAAGCATACCGATGAGACCTACCATGGGCCTGCTCTGTACATGAGGTTTGAGAAGTAGACTAAGTAGTAAAGTGCCAGTTTGCGGAGCGTTAAGCGTCTTCGAGTCCGCGCGGAAAGACTGTGCGGTTGGAGCGTCGGTAGTCGATCAATTCCCCTTGGGGGCATTAAAACAGAATAGTTCGGGCCAATCTTGAATAACCGCGGGGAAAAAAAGCATTTATCAAACTTTCTGTTGTACTCCACCTGGGGGGAGGATCCCAGGGTACATCCCATTCACTGCCCACGCTCTGACTGATGACGATTGTGAAAAATAAATGTGGCGATTATTTACGTCATGTGTAGAATTAACGAGGGAACGAAGATTTGCAAAGTAGATTAAGTAGAAAAGTGCCAGTAGAGAAATGATTAACATTCATAAAAACGTCCAGTAATTGTTAAGTCAAATAAACCATGAAAATGAAAAAATAACAAAAAAAGTCATAACGATATTATTAAAAACGATGGAGATTGATGTGAGGATAAAAACGTCGAATTGGTGACGTCCACAATGCTGCAGTTCTAGTCACTCTAGTCGATTTTCGTTATACCTTTATCCAGGTATACATAATTATATATATACACGAATATATTCTATACATATACAAAGGTATATATTAAATCCAGAAAATGATGAAAAATGAACAAAAAAATTAATACAACAAATAGTTTATATTACGATTAGGTGATGAAAATCGAGATTTCTAGTCAAGCACAAGGCGATAAATGCGATTATAATAAATCTTTTTAGCTGCCTGAATTCAATAACGCGCGTAAACGAGGACGCAAAACTTCGCGAATCTAATCTAAAACTAATAACTGTATCCTTTTTCTTGAAAATCCTATTGACAACATCTTGAAGAATCCTAAAAACTCAAACTAATACTCCTCTTTAGAACTTCTCCTTCGTATTTCCGGGGCGGCGGCCGTTTTCAAATCATGCCCCCCCCCCCTCATTCACTCCCTCATTCACCCCCTCATTCACCCCATTCCTTTCCTTGCTTTTCCTTTCCTCGCACCCTAAAAATCCCCTTTCACCCTATTCTATCTCCTTCGAAAGCCGCCTATCGGACAAGAGGCGCATCGGGCGCGTAACATTCTCCGCGTTAATGGATGCGGTTATAGTAGTTTCATAAAGCGCATATACCCCAAAACTATGTTCATATTACTTTGGCTTTTGGGTTTTACGAGTAAATAGGTATTCACTGTCATTACAATCGCATTAAACCCGGTGGTATATTATCATTATCTGGACGTTTGTTGCCTCCAGGGAGGGGAATGAAAAATGGGGCGAGTGTAGATCGTGAACCACGCGCTGAAACATGAAACGTGATTAAATGTTACGGTCAATAACACAATTTGAACTGAATTTTTTTTTTTGTCCTGGAAAATAGAATGAACCCGTTACTATATTTTCTCGAGATACCTTTACCGAAAACCGCATTCATTAACTCGTTTGAATGTTGGCAACTGACGCAACAACTCACCTGACGATAACCACTCCGGATTTTGCGATCGAGTTGTATTGTTATGAACATATTTTATATAGAGAACAAAATAATGCAAAAAGTCCCAATATAGTATTATATGAGGACACGTGATGTTACGGTCTCAAAAGCAATGTTTCGAAACAACGAATTCTATGATTAAATAGAAATGAAAACCACATAACAACATCGAAATGAATTTTAATTAATGCGAAATCCAATATTATCGGTGAGGTTTAACGTATCTTTAAGATGCTTCGGGTAAAAGCAATTATCGTCCTGCAGGCATGTTCAATAATTCAGCCAATAAGCTGTTTGAATTATTATATTTTGTATATGAAAAATAATAGAGTGAGTCGCAATTACAAGACTTGTCTCCAGCATAACCCACAGAAATTCGTAAATATTTAATTAATCGGTGAACATGTCTGCAGTGGCATTTATGCTCTTTAATATTTATCAATCGCGGAAGCTTCGACGCCCTCGGTACTAGGTTGAGAGAGAATCACCATTACTCCATGAAATAAAGATACTACAAGTCTTTTATAATGTAACGACAAATAATCTGATTGCATGTACAGTAGATCAATTTGCAGACGCAATATTTTCACTGTAGTCCTAACGATTCAAGTGAACATTAAAGGGAAAAATAATAGAATCGAGTGAAATATTGAATGCGTGTGATTAACAAAGAATTTCCCCCGCCTGTAGTACTGCGATATTGCATCGAAGCCAACCCTTACACACGCGAAGCATTAATAAACAAACGAGACGAATAAAAAAATTAGAATTAATACATTTACCATTTTTTTGCGCCAAACTAACATCAGAGTAGACTGATCGAGTATTTGCTACTGACTCGGCGATTTTAATATAAGATTTATAGTTTCTAATTATATTTATTTATTATAATTTATTTTCTAGTCAAATTCATTCGTTGAAATTGACATTTTGTGACTGATTATGTATACAACTTCTAGTCCCCCATGCATTTATGTAATTTATTTGATTGTATTTATTTCAATGATTATTTATTATTGTACCAATACAACGACTCGATACAACGATCGACCAAGTGATTGTTTCCTTATTTTTTCCTTATTTATTTTCATTTTTTCAGATATTTTTATTCTCATTTTCTCTGTAGAGACCTAGATCTATCAAACGCACGTTATACTCGGTTATTTTATCATTATATATACGGGAACGATAACAGGAACTAACGAAAGAAGAGCATATCCAGGTTTTCGTCCTTCTTCGGTGTAGTTTGTAGATAATAAATCGGCTAATCCGATAATAATTAAATTAACGAGGAAAACATTAATAATATACAAAAGCTCAACCCTGTTATCGCAAGTTCAACGTTACTAGAGGTGCTCAAAGACGTATGTGTACAAACGAAACAAAAATTATATAGATGATGAGTGATGAGAAAAATTAAATTTGATGGAATATTTATTGTTAATACGGGGTACTTAGCGGTAGATTACTCGTATAAATTATAAAAATTCAATTATTATAAGCTTCCACTTTGCATACGATGTATTCGAATGGGTCAGGCCCTCTTCTGTTTTCACATTTCAATTTTTCACATCAATGCATTACCGTCTCAAACAATAAGCTGAATTTATTCGAATTTTCTCAACTTCCTGTTTCGCTCTCGTCTTTATTATTTTATTTTTGCCATTTTACAAACGAGGTAGACATTATGCAGAGAAAATATAACGAAGTGAGAAGCTAATGAATGGTTAATAATTACTCGCTTTGACGTTTAATTCTTAAAAACTTGACTTATTCCCTAGAGCAGAAGGTCGCTACTTTGCTGCACGCGCTTTATCTATTCAGCTAGGCACCTCTCAGCTCTATATTTCTCTCTTGCTCTCTAATTTTCTACCTCTCTCTTTCTCTCTCTCTCTCGCTCTGGAAAAACTGGAGGAATTTTCGAATGTAGTTAAAACAAATTGAGCCTGAAAATTCATATGAAATAGCGCATCACCACTCAAACACGCGCCGCTGTTGAAAAATTCTGGTTGAATTGACAGTGAACGTCTTCAGAATTCGAAATATTGCCATATTCCATTGATTCAATGATCTTACCTCAAATAGATTAGGATGAGGATAAAAATTCCCTCATATCATCCCGTTATGCATGAATTTTGAAATTCATGAATAAACATTCATAGTTAAATTTTATATCCAAGTAACTAAATTGATTGATGGATTTTATCAACTTTATCAGGTTTGTGAATTAATTTTTGAAAGATTTATGTTTACCATGATACAAAGAAATACAGTAATTTTAAATTAATGCAATTCTGGGGCGACCCTTGGCTATTCCAATCAAAAAATTTTGACAGTGAGTTATTACCGTCCCGTTGAATTTACGAATTCGTCACCTGAAAAATCGTTAGACTGATGTCGCTCACTGAGGGAACATTTTTTGTCATGTTTAGCATTCACGCTTGATAAAAAAATGAGAGATAGACGAAAAATCGTACCAAACTAACGCGATAACATTTTTAACTCCGTCGATAATGAAAAAAGATATATTATATTGAGAAAAAAATAACGAAGCAAGAAATAATGCGCTTACGAGTCACGACACTAACAGAACAAATGTGTTCAGAACAGTCCTAGCTTTAAGTGGTAACGCAATTAAAACTTTTGCAGTGAACAATTGAACATGAAGAGCGAAAATAAGCTGCGATTAAGGGGTTTAAGTATTGTATGCATGCATCTTCTGGCTTATCTACTATTATTTCAAATGGGGGAGTCCAACTGACTTGAAATGTTCATATATTTATGTGCACGAATTCAATTCAACGATCCTTTGCTAGTTTGCTGAGTAACAAAAAATAATGGCAAAATTGCAATTACAAAATTATTGCGATTTCAAATGCAATGGCGCCAGGAGAAATGAAAGAACTTGATAATTTCAGACTGCTTATTCAATTGAATGGACATTTGAGAACATTCCCACAAAATTCTCGGTTAAAAAAAGAAATTTCTCTCCATGGAATAATTGTCAAGAAATTGCTAGTTGGCGAGTTCGTTGAATTGTACATTTCTTTTTATTGCCGCAAGCACACAGACCGGCATCGTTGATAAACATTGAAAGATAAAATCCGAATCACAGGGGGTGGTTAACGAGGAGAAAGGGGGGAAGGGGATGTAAATTAAAACAGAAACATGAACAAGTCACGAGAGTGGGCGACGTTATCATCGATGCAACCCTGGAATAATGGTAGTGTGATTTAAACTATAGCTCTCACTTCGATAAATTGTTGTAGACCAGTAAATTTTTCAGCTCTCTCCCGAGCAACAACAACCCGAAAATAGCAATGAATATGCGTTCAATAATGGCCCCTGCGATTTTACACCAGAAACAAATAATGTAATTTTTTAAAATGACGCGCACATTGTTACGAATATTTTTAATATATATTTAGAGGTATTGATTTTTCTTGAGTAGAAGTTCTACAGTATGGCGTGTGTAAATATAGAATTTAAATGTAGGCATCCCTAGGGAAAAAACACTAGCTGATTGATGATAACGATAGGTTAATCGAGGCTGAGTTAACAGTAACGGAGGTAATTTAATGGTTAATATTAAATGCTGGCGAGAGGCTGGGTCCCCCGTGGGCCAATATTCAATAAATATCGGTTTCGAACTCTCACCATTCATCAATAATGTATTCACCCGTTAGTTTCTCTCGTCTCTTTTTTACGCATAAAAAAGATGAAGGGAATCAAATTATCGAAATTACTCTGCACCTCTTCATCCAGAGGATTCCACAAAATAGTCAATAAATCTGAAACAGCCCGAACTAATTATTCAAAGCGGTAAAAAAAAAATCGGGCCTGATTTACAATTGTCGTATTATACGTGAAAAAAATTCAGCTTCCGAATTCAAATGTTTCCCGATATTTCACTCATGAATCGTCAATAACAAATGGCCGACTAAAATTTGTATAGCTGTTGGAGATTCCAATAATGAACAGAGACTGACGACGGATAAAAAATTATTTCCCGATATTTTGCTAATGTTTGTGAGAATTGAATGAAATTGTAAAAAATCAGCTGAACAAATCTTTCGAGATTGTACATTATTGTAATACTCTGCTCACGATCTCTCGTTACTACGTGTATTCCCCAATTTTTCCAGTCAGAATGACCTTCTGAGCTCAAATTCGGGTGATCCAATGAAAATTTAAACTCAATTTGAATGAAAATCGTTAGAAACGCACATTTGTGCTATTCAGTCTTGTCATTACGTCCATAAATAAAAAATCTGACTTATGGACGAAGTGACAAAAAGTTCAATTAGTGAATAGTCAATATCGGTAGTCAATATAACTCCACTCGGGTGAAATTACCTTATTACTAATATTAAAACAATTAACTGTTGATTAGCGTTGAGGCATTCTTCTCAAAATTCTAATTAATGTCCGTAGAACTGTTGAAAATGTTTGAAATTGAAATTCAAGCTTTATTTTATTGGCGGACAAATCTTTCAGACATCTCGAGGCTTTTCACTTGACATTTCAACAGAGTTATGACATGAAATTTAGGACCTTCAATCCCGAGCGGAGACCAACTATTCAAGTCCAAAAGTCCGCAATTTCTAATAAGAGATTATATGATGTGGCTCTACTCAAATTTCTAATCTAAATCTAATAGAAATCTAAAGAAAACCTCTGTCTACTTGACTGCAATCTTTCCTATTCCTCATTCATCCTTTTCTTGTGTACTCTTGTGTACTCTTGTGTCCTCTAATTTTCTTAAATCATGAGAACGCAACGAACATGAACCAAAGAATTCAACAAGCCAACGAATAATTTCGTGAATGCGTAAAAAATGTTATAAAGTGCCTGATATTTGAATTACCTAAATTAGTCTCCGGTATCGTACGTTAATTCACATTTTAAGTGACGGCAGTGTCAATTAGATCAATTAGGAGTGATAATACCGGAAGAATTAACGAAGCAATGAAAAAAATCATCAACTGAAAATCATACATACCGTACATCGGAGCAAATCGCGGACACGAACCAAAAATTAGAAATTTCACAGAGAAAAAAAAATAGAAAGGAAATTTGCAGGTGAAATTGACTGGAAGGAGTAAAACATGTACAAATTGAATCATTTTTGCAAACATCTAGGTTAAATCCTTCAATTTCAATTCAAATCTGAAAAAAAAAATTACTGGAGCCACCGAAATAATTACCCATTTTCCCTGAATTTTTCTGAACTAGACTTCTGTCAAATTGCATTTGTAATTCAAAGTTGAAAAAAAGAAAAATTTCCAAGTGTTTCTTTAAAGAATATCGGTGATCCGAGATTAATCCCCGGATTTTTTCCCCTCAATTTCACCGTAAATATTCTATTATTTCTTCTCAGTGCAAAAACGGAGAATATAAATAAATTCCACTCGTGCTTAAAATTATTATTAATTGCGAACCAAAGTTGAGTGATCACCACTAGCAGAAGTAATCCGAAAAAGAATTAATTTAACCAAATGGTAATAACTTGTGATTGGGCGCAGTGACGTTAGACAGATGTGATATAAAAATAAACCTAAATGATGTTGATAAAACGAATAATGTGAGCCTAGTATGCACATAGATATTATTGATATTGCGGAAATGCATAAATTGTGATACCCCCCCCCCCTTCCCAAAAAAAAAGAAACTCGACTGATATTTACAGGATATTGTTCCGTTTGGATCTCCCAAGACACCCGGGGTATTCAAAAGCCATAAAAGACGCAGAAGAAAGGGGAAAATTCCCTACGTGGAAAGCCCGTGAAAAAACGATAGATTAATCCAATTAGACTCGACGAATAATGAACCCAGCCACACGTGCATTTCACACACACACACAAACTTGATTACAATTAATTAAATATGCCACGATGATAAATCATAAAAACAAAATTCCCTATAGAAGAGCCGCTACAAGTTATCAAAACTATCGAATTGAATTCAACGACATTGAATAAAAGAGATAATTGAGTTTATGGACGAGACGATAGTTTACATGATAAAATATACTCATATTTTCTAGCTTTTATTTAAGAAGAAAAAAACGCATATGAGGAATGAAAGAAACAGCATCGAGCGTCGGCTGAAGGCGCGTCGAGCAACGCGAGGGTTAACTATATTTATAGAAAATATGTTAATAACTCATTATTGCCGAGAATTATATAGAAGAAATATTTAAAACAAAAAAAAATACAAAAACACTTAAAATTAGTTGAATTATGATAAACGACGTAGTGATTATTCCACGCGTATCGATACGCGATCGCGGCGCATGGTCTACAGTACAGACTGCAGTAAAAATGCGTAATGAGGATTAAAACAAATATTACGAATATATGGAATAATGAATAACGTAAAATTTACATGCGTATATTGCATTGAGTAAGTGCATGGTGAATAATAAAGAGAGAGGATTGAGAATAATAGCGAAAGCAACTGATTTTCGAATAGAAAAACGATGAAGCAATTAAAAATTAATTCATTATATCTTTGCATGACTAAGTAGGGCTGTACTGCCATCGATGCAATACGAAAGCATTATAGTGCTATCTAAAAATCAAGGAAATACCGTAATAAACAGTAATGAGAGAGGAAGATAATAGTGATTATTAACGATTGGAAAGATTTAGGAGACACACCAGATATGTACGACGTCATAACATTATTCTAATAAGCAGTAGTGCTAAATGTATTTAGCATTTACGTAGACTTAAACTAATTATGCCTAAGGTAAGCGCGATTGTTCGAGGATTACTATGTTTTTAAGGCTTTATTTGAGCTCAAAATTTTAAATTATCGCTGAGTTCGTAAATCGGTGAGTCAACATTTAATTATAAAAATTAAATCGAACATCGCTTGCTTGCAAGGTAGTGATATAATGTAGAACTGTCAGGGAATTTCCTCTGATGCTCGCTGAATTGCCCACTCTTGGAAAATCATGAGAAATAGATTCACTCCTCACCCCTGCAAAGTATTTCCTCATATAAATTCGTTATTGATTCACAGGTCATAAAATACATAAATTAACGGCGAACATCGGAGGGACCACTCCCGATACTAGAGCATGGTGTGAAACAAAAGAATTAAAAAATTGAAAAAACGATAGTGACGCTAGATTTATTAAACTTAAGCTTGATTCTCGCTAAGGAGATAATTATATTATTGTAACAAATATTTACATACGTTTGTATTATTTGTAATAATAGTGCTAATACAAAACTCCACTGAATCGACTCGTTGCAAGGAAAAACGACATTACGCACCGAAATGAATAACGAGATAAATTATTCAATCTAAAGGGGATGATGACGTTGTTTTTCAGTCGTCGATTGAACATTGGGCAAATTCTGTTGTAAAATCGATTCCCCGTGATTTTTGTAATTCAGAATTACGTCTTTATTCATTAAAAGTCCAGCGTTACGAGAATAATCGCGGGTTCAGTACGTCATGTGCAGAAATGAAAATGAAAAACTGATGAAAATGATAAAACGATGGAACGACGTGTTGAAAAATGAAAGAAAAATAATGATAACCAAAAATATGCAAAAGCGACTTTACCCAACCCGACATATGCTTTTAAATAGTGTTGGATGGTAATGTTATAACAAAAAATGGGAAAAACGTTAATTGAGCATTGTTATCTATGTAATACGACATAGGATGTTTTGTATTATATTTTCATAATAAATAGAAACGTAGAAAAAAATGTATTCATCACACCTGTCTTGAGGTTCATTGTGTCGATGCTCTTATTGCTGTCCATTAATCATCTCTTTTTTTTTGTCAACCTCTGGGCTAAATGTACGTGTGAAAATTACAGTTTGAGCATTTGGGCCGAGTTGAATCGATTTCGTGGACAATTAAGGTCAGTTGTTCGCACATGCTCGATTCCAGGCGGTGAATTTTTCTCCATCGGTCTATACGGTGGAAAAATTGCATAAAAATCCGTGGAATTTCGATCATTTGTTGCTGATACTTGTGAATTAAGTCTCAATTTGATCGAAATCTCCATCTCCTCACCAAAATGTGCAGCAAATAATCAATATCATTTTTTCTCATCAACCAATTGATGGCGTTAACTGATCGTTGAGACTTGTAGCTCCTGCAGTTGTTTCTAGTTCGCTGGCAGAATCAACAGAGGAAATAGCTCGAAAGCTGTTGCTCCGAATCTTCCCCTTAAATCTTGTGCTACGAAAACCCAGAAATTCATCTCGTGGCTGAAAGGCGTCATACACAGCATCAAGTGGCATTTTTTTTTTCTTGTCTCCAGTTGAAGCGAGTGTGCATCATCTATACACCTGGTCACGTACTCCCACTCGATATAGAGCAACCTAAACCGTTTCCCTCGTGAAGGAAACAGTATTTTCTTTCTGGAAAAATTATGAGGGCTAGGAGTTATGACACTCCCGCGTCTCATAAAGATGTCAAAAATAATTTTTAAATAAGATCCTTCATTATTCTACGTTTCAGGAAACACGAACCCTTATGGTAATGAATATCGCCCTTGGAAATATTTCCCTTGACATTTTTTCCAGGTAAATTTATTCGAATATTCAGGGATTCATGCAATTTTTTATGAAACAGACGCTGTTAAATCATTGTTATTGAATAATAATCGATGGGTCATCATTATACCCACTGTTGATACTTAAATAACTGATATCCATTGAGAATAATATGGAGGAAGTATTAAAAAAAACACATTAAATAATACGAATTACGATAACCAAAGCCATTACTCGACGCAGAGCGCTGTGGGTGTTTTAAAAACTGTAGTAGAAGTACCTAATGACGATAAAAACAAATATTACGCGTATACAGAAGGAACAGTAAAAAATTTGCATGCACATATTGCATTGAATGCACCCATAGTGACTAATAAAGACAGAGAATTGAAAAGATTTACGAGAGCAATTCATCGTCGAATAAAAACCCAATGGATCAATTAAAAATGAGTTCAATGGCCATTGGAGAATTACAAAATGGAATATACTATCAGCGAAGGAAGAAAACATCATAATCAGACAGCAATGACAAGTATCAACGATTGAGAACATTCAGGTCATGGTGGTGAATATGATGAATATGTCATGTGATGAATATGTGGAGAAGTCAGAAGTTGTATTTATTATCTTTCGTATGAATCATTCATATTTCAATGTTCTCCAACAGTCATCATTGGTATGAGGTTCCATAGTTTTCCACGAGTCATCATTTATTATCGACGTGCATTAGTAAAGCATTGGATAGAAAAAAATTATTCCTGAATTCTAGGTCCGGAGGAGATATACCCCCCATGTTCCAGTAACCGTTAATTCATTTACATTAGCAATTGCAATCTCTGTAATTAGTACAAACAATGGTAATCGAACAGCGTATGTAATATATCGAGTGAGTAAGCATTATACAGCTGGATTATGTTGGGGCTTTGATGGCTTGGCCCATGGTCGGCAGAACGTGTCGAATGTATCGTACATGTGTCCGGTGCCAAATGGATTGAACACGTCTTGCTCGTAATCCATTGACCTTATATTTTATAGGTAATGGAGCAAATTGTTTATTGAAAATCATTTCTATCCATCCTCCGCCCCCGCTTAATTTCCATAATCAGGGAAATTCGGTAATCAGTATATAAGACCTCCGATGAATTTTTCAGCGAATTTAATTAAATCGCCGACTAATTACACAACTAGATGGAATTGAGAATAAAATTCAGTTGGACTTAATTAAAAGATAAATTAAAAGGGGAGGCCAGATCCTATGAAGATTTTTATCAGGTGTGTAGTAATCGAATTTAACTTAATTGATATGAATTATTAAAATCGTAAACAATCCATTGTTTCGACCGGTGAGAAACAAAAATCAAATTTATGGAAAAAAAATTGGATGAGGCATATAAATGCAGCTGAACTGGAACAGCAGAAATATGTAATTTCCCATGGGAAAATGGGAGACATGAGAATACTCCATAGAATACCAGAACTTGAATAATTAGCTGATGGTTATCGTCAATGTCCTACCTAACTTATGGATACAATTCATTGAATATCACAATGAATCGTCCGTAATCCTCATTATTCTAAACTTTGCTCGATCCAATTATAGTAGTACGAGTTGCGGTAAGATACAAAAGACAAGATTGCTCGCCTAGAATCTTGAAAATGATAGTTTTGCAGTATAAAATAATTTTCTTCAAAGTTTAATTACTTTGGTTGCAAGAGATAGCCTCCATCCTTCTCACTGTGTTATAGGATCTTCAGAACTGAAGTATCTGGTGCTCCGAAACGTGCGGAATGAGAGGACTGGAGCTCTTGTTACGAAATAATTCCGTCGGAATATTAAATATTTCCGCAGTGACCCGGGAAATATTGCAATGTCGGAAGGAGGTACAGATTTTTTATTGTTGAGTCGATGATGAATACCAACTCTCCCTAACCAGAAGTAAGACTACATTTCTTCTAAACAAACGAAAATAAGTTGGAAATAATAAATCCAGAACTTTCCGTGAAATTTTACGTGACAATTTCTTACTTTTTTCAGTGATGAACATGAGAAATTACTGAACGTTTAAGATTTATTTTCGTTCATTTCTCCAGCACTACCGGAAAACAGCTCCATATGTCGCATTACGTGTATTGTTCCGCAATTTAAAATAAAATATTTCTCTCCTCGTATTGCATTCCATAAACATGAAGTATCAACAATCATCTTTACCCGTCACTAATTACAAGTATGGCTCATTGTTTCAGTCATAATTAACTGAAGAATCTGTTCGGTACGATTTTCATTCCTCAATTTTCCAAATTTTCACGGAGTAATTAAACCCAAATATTATTTTCCATTGATTTTTCCATCACATCTAGATTCCGATCCCTTAAAATTCCAATGAACTCCGATTAATCGTCATTGGTATCAATAATCGCGAGGATTAACATTTAAAAAATACGTGCAAGGTAAAGATATAGTGAATTCCCAACGACTCAGTAGTTACGGATAGACGAAGGACAGTAAACTCCCATAATGGCGCCAAAAATATCTCCCCAGTATTCGATATTTCCTATAAAGCGTTCAATGCATCTGTCTTTCAGCCTTGAATCTGTGGCCTCCAAAAATATGCAAGTACCTCCTTGCATCGACATACGTGCCAAGATCATGATTCTTGATAAGACAGTGCAAACGCCGACGGAATTGCAAACAGCAACCGTAATTCTGTCAAAGATGCATCCGCAGTTGCGATTAAATCATCCCTCTTATTTTGAGATAAACAATAATAAATATTTTGAAAATTCAATTTAAAAGGTATTCTCCCACTAGAATGGCCCACCTCATATCGATAATTACTGTTTCATTCGGAGCTAATTATATTCCACGGTCACAATGACGAAATAGAAGGTGGCAGCGCTTCGATCAATAAAAAAATTCAAGTGCGTAGCGATTAGAATACATCATTAGTTTATCAAAGTCTGTATGTCATTGTCATCGTAAACACGTAAGCATACGAATCATCGACTATTTCCCGATACGTTCGATGTAAAAAACGAATGTGTTAAGTGGCATTTGTAAAAATCACATTGTCAGAAATAACGCAGGTGAAAAAAACGAATAATTATCAACCAATACTCAGGAACGTTTCCATCAGGATAAGGCAACGATTTCTCCCTTCATCATTAGACTAACGAAGGTGAGTTTTTTTCCATTGATCGAGTGATTAACTAATATTAAAAAAGTGAATTTGGTATTTCCTCTCAATGATAATGTGATGTTCCACTTATTTTTCAAATAGACGCAATTGTGATCGAATGTTTAGACAATCGAGGCGTGAAAGACCTTCTCAATCTGTCCCCAGTCACAATGAGTCAATGACAGCGCAGCACTTATAGCCCATGTTAATTGATTTATCGTTATTGATTTGAAAGTTTCCACAGCAAACCTTGGACGTTACTTTTTTATGGATCCTCTCAATTAATTTATGATGTTGCCCCTTCAAACATGAACATACCTCAGATTTCACTGAAGATAGTGTCACTGTATATTCTCCATTGATAAGAAAATCAGAACAGATGGAATATTGGTGAATAAGACCAGTCCTCAACTTACAACCGGTAAATGAACTCAAGCCCGAGGAGAAGGGTGATCGTTAAATTGATTGCTCAGAGACAAAGCGGTTTAGGATTTACGCAATTCTCTTGTGACTTATTTCAAGATCAGTGAAATCTCCTGTTTCAACGGATCCAATTCATTCAGTTGTGCAGTGTCTCTTCAGGTCGACCGATCTTTTCAACACCTGAAATTTCGTAAGTCACCATAAGTCCCAAGTAAGCCAGATCAAATTATTACCAAGCGATTGGTCAATGAGATTATTCCTCTCATTACTTAAGCGAAGAAACTATTATCACTGGCCTGCATTATTTTGAAGAATGCTGCGATAGTCTTGTCCCTCCCACTGGAGTACAAACAATTGCACTTATCTCACATTTTTTCATTAGTCGTTCCGTTGTTTTTATTGGTGCAAAGGAGGAGTTACAGATGCTCCTGCAGTCTCAACATGCCAGTGTTTAATGATGACCGTAATCTCTCGGTACTGAGCGCGTTTTAATAACTGAGCGCCACGAAATTGACGCAGTATCGGGTTAAGCCTCGTGATTTGACACATACATAGATATTCCACAATGAGTTGTATTCATGGTTGGTCGACAGATAAAACCCACAACTTGGGCAATATCTCGTGCTCATTGTCGCCATTTAATCGGGGGACAGTGGTTCGTTTAGCCGTAATCAGCTGTAGCTCAGTTGATTTGTTTAAAATACAGTTAGTCCCCGGATTGTTCTCCGGATTTATTTTGTTTGAGTTGCTACTTGTTCACTTATCAGTGTCACATAGGATCAAGTGCTGACAGACAATTTGTCAAAGATGGAGACAAGCAGTTTACTTACAGATAAATCCTACTTCGGTCTTGGTAAGATAACGAATTCCCAGCATCCACATGTTTTCCGCATGTATGGAACAATGGATTTTACATCTTGCGTTAATCCTCGGAACGTAGGAGGCGCAAGGTTGATAAATGGTTTGTGCATGTTTGATGTTGAGGTCACAGCGACTTCGAACTAAACTCATTTTTATCGAATTCTATTTACTCATCTTTGACATTTTGCATGGGGTTTTCTAGGGAGAGAATCGTTTTTTTTTTAATAATTCATTGGGTTATTCTCTCCTTACAGACAACGCGGCCGATGAGATGATTAATAGCCCAGAACTTGTTGTACAACGCCCTGTCTATCAGCAGGAGGATCTCAATCGTGTTTGTAATTACGCGAAACCACGAACGACATGTAACTGTTATTTAAATAATCATGAAATAACCATAAAAATACCTCAATTTTTTCCTGGAAATTTTTTATTGAAAAATTTCTGAAATTCATGTCAACTGATTTTTCAAATTTAATTAGAAATTATGAGTGAATGATTTTTAAAGACCCCGCCACAACACTGTAATTTTCTAATTAAAATTGAATGTTGACTGTTTCGATAAATGAAATTTTTCGATAATTTGAATTGCTCTGTGTGCGGCGGATGTCAGAGATTTGTTCAGCTTCGCTCTTGCTCATTGATAAGCGCTGAAAAAAAAAGGAAAAAACCGAGTTTTAAATGAAAAAATTGCTGCAGTGAAAAAAAGGTGGAGAAAAAAATGCAGAGACTTCAATTTAAAATCGAACCTCGAAAAAACCATTCCAATGATCAGTTGGCTGTCGACATACGAGTGGAGGGAAAATATTCTAGGAGACGTGGCTGCTGGTTTTACTGTAGCTGTTATGCACATACCTCAAGGCAAGCAACTTCATTTCCGATAAGATTTAATTATTGTTCTCGGAGCTACTGATAACTTGATGGTACAGGTATGGCGTACGCGATGCTTGGAAACGTGCCACCCATCGTTGGAATATACATGGCATTCTTTCCCGTTCTCGTATACATGATTTTCGGAACATCCAGACACAACTCAATGGGTAATCCTGATGCTCCATTCAGAAATATATCAATGCTTACGTACCTCATTATCATCGCAACGGAGACCTGACAAAACAAGATAACATTTGTTTCTCATACTCAATTCAGATTTAATCGCTTCTTTACTACAGAATTCTGATCTGTAAATATATGACTCCGAGATAAAGTCCGAGATAAGAGAATTGCTAAATTTACAGTAAGAAAATACGAGAAAAATAACAGTAGAGAATAAAAAGAAGAGAAGTTTTCCATAAAACTTATTTTCCTAAAATGTTTTCATTCTCCAAGTTGTTAGTTTTCTAGTCTTCCATGAAGAACGGGTATAAATTCACAGGTTTTCCCTTTCCCCATGCATTTGCTACAAAATTTCCAAGAGAAATGAATGAAAAAATCGAACAGAGTTTCCTCTCACATGTTTTCATGTGCAAAACCAGCTCTTTCCATGCATACCATTATACCCGAATATGAAACAAATAGAAAACACTAGATTTCCAATTCATTCAAGCTACACCTGCGCATTCCGTAATTAGCATAAATTACAGAGGTCCTACGAAGGCGATACAATTATCAGATATTAATGTCTCGGATGCAGGTACATTCGCTGTTATTTGCATGATGACGGGAAAAGTTGTATTGGCCCACAGTAACGGTGAAGTTATCCAAGCAAATGTAACATCAGTGAATCCTGAATTATCCGATAGTCATCACTACTCGGCTGTGCAAGTTGCAACGATCGTGACACTTGGGGTTGCAATATTACAGGTATAAGATATTAATCTATTTACTTAGCCCTAGATTTCCATTTGTACGATATAACCACTCAACATGTACTCAAATGAAATCCCTCTCTCATCTTCACTCGTCCCAGTTGGCAATGTACGTGCTGCGTCTAGGTGTGATATCTTCACTTCTGTCAGAGACTCTGGTCAGCGGTTTCACCACTGCAGCAGCGGTTCACGTATTCACATCGCAAATCAAGGACCTCCTGGGTATACACCTCCCCAGGCGCCGTGGTCTACTCAAAGTGGTTTACGTGAGTATTTATTCAACGTTTTAATTACGTCATTGGTTAAGAATTTTAAGCATCATTTTTGCAAAATTCTTGGCTATTCCGTATGTAAAACACTAAATATGCGAAATATATGTTCGTTCAGATTTCCTTTCCTTCCTTTCTATTCCTCCTCAGGTTTTTACTTCAATTTTCCATTCCATCCCCTCACCCCGCACCGCGTCCGTCTATGTAATAACTTAATCATTAGCATATATATTTTTTCCGTGAGGGATGTCCTACTATAAAATTAATCGTCAATCACTCTATGTTATTAAACGCCAGGAAACCATTGGTAATTGAAATTAATGAGCGATAGTATTAATTTGTTAATTATATTTGAAGTTTTACTGTAATTTATTCCTTGCTCTGAATTTCTTATGTGTTATTCTTGACGATTGAATAATGTATTATGTTTGTTGTATTATTCTCATTAAATATTCTCTTACGGCAAGAAGTATTACATTTTTCTGCCCAGGTAATACCGAAGTGTGTTACAGATAGAGACAGGTGAGTTGCGACTGTAATACCCTAGAAAATAATAAAACAAGCTTTGAACATAAGCTTCCTGCTATTTCACAATTAAACCAATTCAGTGCGGCACACATTTATGTTTACGAATGTTTTTCCGGCATTCGTCAAGTGACAAATACACAGGAACAAGAGCCTCCGGGCAATTTTACAGCCTCCAGGTGTCTCGTTCAGAGCGAGTAAGAGTTTTAATGATCCAAGACGTGACTATCAACGCGCATAACGTCATTTTCACTTTCTTTCGTCTCCTAAATGAGTACTCAATGCTCCTGGTGTTACGGAAATAATTACACCGATAAGAAATTTTAATTTTCCACATTATGTGTCATTTTACGACGTCAAGTAGTCGAAATTGATGAAAACATGAACAACTCACATTAAAATGATATATTTCATTCGCAGACTTATTATGACGTCTTCAATGCCATTGACGATATTAATATCGCGGCTATGGTTATTGCTGGTATAACTATTATAGCTGTCGTATTCAATAACGAAGTTCTCAAGGTTGGTTTTACAAAAAATTTGACCTTTCCCTAGCAATAAATATCCCGAGCTCCTTTTATTTTGATTATTTATTGCAGCCCAGAGTTTCCAGATACTGCGCTTTTCCCATTCCAATAGAAATGCTCGCTGTGGTGATTGGAACTGTAGTTTCTGTTCAAATGAACCTCCATGATGTATACAATGTATCCATAGTGGGAGACATTCCAGTCGGGTAAATAACAAAATCGATCAACTAAACAATTCATTTACCCAATTAATTAAGTTAAATAACACTAATTGGTTATTTGCCCTTGTCAGATTTTTACCTATCATACATTAAAGTTAAATTAAGTTGATAGATTCATTACGTTTCTTAACTTTTTTCAAGGAAATTTTCGTTATTTTTAATTAATTTGGACTTGATTGGAATTATTTAATCATTTTAGGCTTCCAATTCCGGAACTACCCCCTTTGGAATTATTTCCCAGTGTAATAGTGGATTGTTTCGTAATTACAATGGTATCGTATAGTATTTCCATGTCGATGGCACTGATATTCGCCCAGAAAATGAATTACGAGGTAGATGCCAATCAGGAATTGATGGCACAGGGTCTTGGAAATTTGGTTGGCTCATTTTTCTCATGCATGCCCTTCACAGCGTCATTATCAAGATCCCTTGTACAACAGACGGTTGGCGGAAAGACGCAATTAGCCAGTCTCATTTCGTGTTTCCTTCTTCTTTTTGTTTTGCTTTGGATCGGGCCATTTTTAACACCACTGCCAAAGGTAAATATTTTGTTATTCTTTTTATGGATTCTATTTAGCTCTCATTGCTCTGCAGGGAGTTCTAGCGGGAATAATAGTAGTAGCACTCAAGGGTATGTTCCTCCAAGTGAAAGATCTCTTCAAATTCTGGAGACTTTCATCGACGGACGCCCTAGTCTGGATCATCACATTCCTCTCTGTTATCATCCTCGATATTGAGTATGGGCTTTTAATAGGGGCTCTTCTCTGTTTCGCCAAGCTCATTGCACTTTCCATGAAACCGTACACTTGCAAATTAGCTCTTGTACCCGGAACTGAAATCTACTTAGATACAAATCGATACGAAAAGGTGAAACTCACAGTTTGTTACTAAATTACACTATCTGGATTTTATTTATGGCATAAAGATCGTGGGATATTTCAGACTGTTGAATTACCTGGAATTGTCATGTTCCACTACTGTGGAGGATTGAATTTCGCTTCGAAGCTTCATTTTCGTAAAGAGGTATTCAAAGCCACTGGAGTGAATCCCCAGATGGAACTAAATCGCATCTTGAAAATGGAGAGCAAAGAAAATGCATCAGAAAGCGCAAAGAATGTGGGTAATTGGTCTAAAAAATGAGCCACTGGCTCATGAATTTTTAGTTTTAATAATTGTAGTTTTTATTTATTTAAATTTTAATGGACTTATAGATAATTATTTATATATATAGTTGGTCAGTTAACAAGCAGCTCTCGTTTAATTCTATCCACAGCTCAGAGTAATTGTCCTGGACTTCTCAGCCCTCGTTCACATAGATCCAGCCGGTGTTGCTGCTCTCAGAAATCTCGTTGATGATTACATGAAAATCGACGTATCCGTTTACCTAGCTGGCTGCTCCGGTAAATAAATATTCATTATAAATCGAATGTTAATTATGATTCAGTGGTCTTTATCGACCATTGGAAAGTCCTAAACTGCACCGGAAACTCATAGGCTGAACAAGAGATTGAGACCTCAAAAACAGATGATATTTCAATATTGAGATTGGGTAACGTGTAATTACAGCCAAGGAAGTTGCACTTGATTTTCAGGTTTTGCTACCGGAAGACATGCCTGCCAGATATCTCGACATTTTACGATCACTTTTTCCAGATTTACCAACAAGTTTAATTCACATAATACCTTGCAGTATCTTCCCATTTCTCCCACATTTTAAATATTTGTTTTTTATTGAAACACTTCAGGTCCCGTTTTCGAGACGATGAGAAAGTGCAGTGCGGCAGAACGAACAACAGAAGCATTCATGATGTTTCCAACAGTCAGTGATGCGGTCAACTATGCTAGACACGAGAGTGTCATTCCACCAATCGCAATTCCATCCTCGCCACTTTGGACAACATGCCCGATGCAAAATAGTCATGAAGAAAACTGCATGAGTCGACTGTGATTTCCAATGAATGATTTTTTTCATTTCTCCCTTTCATTTTTTCCTCTTTCCCTTTTCACTTAATTTTAAAGTTAATGCGATGAATTTATTTATTTCTTCCACAAATCTCTTGTAAATATTCTGCGAATGTCATCGATATATGAATAAACGTATTCGTGCTCGAGTAAATAACGCCGATTATTTTAAATCGTCAAACTACTGTATTTTATCGAGGTGAAAGGACTATCGGCGATCATCAAAACCCAATGAATCTTCACCAAAGTTTCATAATCCCCGTCCTCATATTTGTGACTCTTATCCCCCTAACTTGATACATCGATTGCGCATACCCCGGAATGCAACCACACCGCGTAATTCTGAATTCACCATCTTCTTCCTCATTTGAATTCCGTTCATACGGCTTGAGACACCCATACTATTATCGTTAAACGATGAGACGTTACTCGAATAATTAAAAAATCAAATTATGGAGTCACCCATTGTTCTCATGATAAAAAAAAAATTCCAGATTGTTTCACTGATCAAATATTTGAATTAATCAAATACTAATGTAATTGCATTCGTGATCGTTTCAATGGAAAATCCAGGCGAAAGTTTGCCATTGGAATTTTCCCGGGTGATCGATACGAATTTTCAAAATGGCGGTGTACGCGCCTGCGTCGAATGATCTACCCAGTCACAACTACCACGTCAACTCTTTTTGTTCAACGTACTGTTGTTGCAACTGCTGTCACCGGTACACTTTTTTAATCATGGCATCGTTAATTCAGTCAATAAAGTCTATACCCACGCACATGGTAAGTTAATATATGACTGCTGGTATTTTTACGTTAATATTTAAGGGAAAAAGGGTAAGGAACGTGTTATTAAACAACTCAACTGTCTTGAAGAATCTTTTGAAGGCGTTCGTTTGAGGTTAGAACACTGTTTACCGTATGCCACTGCAAGCTAAAAAATTTCTGGATTTATGCACCAATCAACCCTTATCCAACATACTTCTCCATCCTCGAGGATATTTTTATTCTATCCTCATTCAACGAAGCCATTTAAATGTGTAGACCCTCTTTCTTCAATTTTGTAACAATCAGCCGTACGTCAGTAATAATCCATAAAATTGGATTATTTTGTCTCAGAAATAGGGGAGGAGAAAATATCTTTAAATTTTCTCATAGAATTTGGTCTACAGCAACATCTGATATTTATTCATTATTTGCAGGACTATGAAGGACAGGCGAGGGCTGAAAAATTGTCCAGGATCATTGTCACTCTTTTTGGAGTGAGTGTCCTATTTATTGGGATTTAAATTTGTTTATGAACGGGTGTTTTATTATTATATTATCTCCTTTTCAAGTTTGTAGGACTGATCTGGGGATACGCTATCCAAGAATTCTCTCAAGCCCTCTACATCCTGGGGGCTGGCTGTGTGATGGCTGCTATAATAACTGTTCCCCCTTGGCCAATGTACAGACGCAATCCTCTGGACTGGCAGAAGCCCCAGACAGAAGCCTTATCGAAGAGTAAAAAGAAGAAATAGTCACTTCCATTCAATATTAATTGTTTTCTACTCTGAGCATTTAAAATTGTGAATATTATTATCTTTAATCATTAAATACACGAGATGTACAAAAAATAACATTCAACGTGTGAAATCTACACTCTGGGGTAATCGCCCTGATCTGTGCATTTATCACAATATATTTCATTATTCCTGGAAGGCTGTTATTACTCAACTCTTATACCCAATTTTATTTCATATTTAATATAAAAATCGGTCACGCGTGTGCACCACAATTAAAACATGGGATAACACCACTCAGTTGCTATTGGACTCGTTCCAGATTCCTGCACTTTCATCGGCCACGTTTCTTTATTTTCTCCTCTTGTCGCAGACGACTGGAAATATTTTCCTCGAAAAAAAAAAACACGGAGAGAAAAAACAATCGTAAAACGAAGATGAAGCATACGTGACTTTCACAATGAACCACAAGACTAATTTGTTTGGGGGATGAAGCTCGGTCATTTTGTTGCGCAAGATTTTTTTTATGCATGAGAAAAATGATGAGTACGGAAAGTTCGCCCTGGTAAAATGGACACGCCTTGTGAGCTCCCTCTCCGAAGGGAGAGGGGCGTCGGATATAGGTATATGAAAGAATACGCTGTGGAATTACGAAACACTTTCACTCGTGTATGATGGATAACGTTTGGGTATTCAAAACCCAGTACTTCCTGCATTGGAATAAAAGAAAAAGCTCGGGGATTAATGTTTCATTCTGTGATTTTTATTTTTTTTTCGAATTCTACCCTTGATATGTATGATGAAGCTAAACCAATGGATCAATGAGAGTTGTATGAGTCATCAGGCATATGGGGTGAGTAATGATGAGTCGAGTTTAGGTCGAGTATTGTATCAATTATTAGGAATATATCGATTTCCGAGGGTAGGCCTTTGATCGATTACCCTCGCATTGAAAATCCAACCATTATCAGTCGTGAATTCCGGGAAGAGGATCCACCCGTTTCAGAACTGAAGCAGCGGAAGATTCAATGGGAATTTTTTACACTTGCACAATTACGACTGCAAATGTTATTTAACAGCGGAAGAGTTTACATTAATTGAAAATTTAGACACACCCCTGCGAATTGGGATTGGTGAATGCTATTCTAGAAATCGAATGTTTTTTGAGTGAATCGAAACCGAGTCAGGGGCAATTTACCGAATCGTTTACGCTCACTCCACGTAAAATGTCGCCGTTAAGATACTATATATTTTTTGGAATAAATGTTACAAAATCATTACTGTAACGGTGAAATAAGCCCAGTGTGACTCCCCTTTCCACAGGCACGTGGAATATTTAGAGCTACGCAAACCTCTGCCACGTAACTACATATGCACGCACCGTTTCCTTGCTTTTTACGTAATTCGGTGAAAAATAAAGTTATCCACTGGGACCGGGATCGGCGGTGGGTGCTTTTGCACTCCTATCCCTGAACGAGATATCCCCAGTGGCGGACACTAGTCTCCCACCCGGTTTTCGTGTCGAGACCCACCTTTATAAACCCATCGCTGACCGCTAAACAACCAGAACTGTATCAGCATTTGCTAAAAGTATTGCCAATTATTGACTCTCACAAACAAACATGTACTCTTACACCTTTGCTGTGAGTTTTTTTTATTTTCCGTATTGACTATTGATTTTAATTATTCTCCTCCACCAATCATTTGTCAAGTACCAAGTGAAGTGTTATCGTGATCCTTCCACATTGTCCATGTAATCTTGAATTTTTTCCTTCCGGACATTCAAATCGCCACTCATACATCGATTTTTCGTTGTAAATTCAGAAAATATATGGCCCTGGCAGTGAATTAAGAAATTTGCTCCTTACGTTAATCTTTTTGCGTGCAATTATTTCAGATCAATTTCTAGAGTTCAATATGAAAGTCCTAACACTATTATAATTTTATTTGCAAAATTCATGCGAAGATGAATTGAATTATTTTCAGACTTTCCTATTGAAAAGGAAATTGATAAAATTAAGTGAATTAGCATGCCACCTTGTCGGTTTGATTCTCCGGGAATTACTACTCGGGTCACGTAAGAAAGTCGTGCATTTTCACCCATCACATGAAATACCCAAATTAGGATATTTTGTAGGCCTTACAATTGTCACGTAATAGCAAAGCGTGCCGCTGAAATACTGGTTAAAATTCATCAACTCATTGTCATTACAATTTCATTGATCTCTTTTAGCTGATTGCGTGCGGAATCTTAGCTGCTGCTCTTGCGGCACCCGCACCAGGATGGGGACACCATCAGTAAGTAGAGAATCTGGAGAATAATTCACTTGAGAATATATGAACCAGGAGATTTGTAGAGTTGAACTGATATTTTTTGTAAAGCCAGCACGTGAAAATCCATGTGCCATACCATGTGCACACAGTACATCATCATCACGTGAAGAAAATTCACGTGCCGGTTCATCATGTTGAGAAGGTCCATGTGCCGGTTCCCGTTCATCACGTCGAAAAAGTCCATGTCCCGGTGCCCTACCCCGTAATCGAGAAGGTGCATGTCCCGGTTCATCATGTTGAGAAAATTCACGTGCCCGTTCCCATTCATGAGCCCATCCACGAGCCCATCCATGAGGAGAAGGGATGGTGGTGAAGAGTCTGACAGAGAGTTTCAGTTCTCTACGCATGATGTCATTTACGTAAACAGTAAGTGGTTACGTATGTTCGAGATTGATTTCACAAGGATAATTAACTTAATCTGAAAATCAAACAAGGAACTGTTAAAAATTTCTTGATATTTCAATCACAAATCCATCGGAATTTCCAATTAATTGGAGAATTTCAATTTAAATTAAAAACGCTCGCTACATTCTTCATTTTTCTTGAAAATTCGAGAAAAACGGGGTTTTCATGTTTCATGATAATTAATTATTCAATGAAGAATTCTGGTGAAATTCCATGCGACTGTATCGTTGTAAAACATTTCAAGCGTTTTTGGTTGAAATATGGAGTGTAATTTTCCAACAGCGAGAAGTGTATGGAATTCCCTCCAGAAACACTTTCAGCATAATGACTTTGATGGAAAATTTAATTACAAGATTCAAACAGAATTCCATTAATTTATATTGATTCGCTCATGCTTCTAGGGATAATATGACTTGATATTAAATTTCATATAAAATTCTTCTAAATTTCAGAACCTAATCCATAGGCAAACTAGTTTCGCCATAAGCAGTATTCATCCTTTGGTGTGGTTCCACTTCAAAGACTCTTCGATGATATTTGGCAAAGACTTTCACAAAATGAGATTTCTGTGAAGTACGGGATGAAGAAAAGTTGAGCATTACTAAAGAAGATTGATATCCGGTAAACATCGGGTATAAATCTACCGAATGTACATACATTATACCCTTTCGTTACCTGAATATTTTTATTTTTTGTACGAAAACTTTTGTAGAATAAAAAAAGTATTAACATAAACAGTATAGTTTCTTGGATACATACGGAATCTTTATTAGTGCATAAATGAATCAACAAGTGGTCGGAGTTTTTCGTAACAATTTTCTTACAACTTGGAAGCTGAATTTATGAAAATATAAACAGAGTTAATAGATCCCTTCTTCTTTCTTGATCCTCACCATGATGACGACCCACCCTCGTCATGGTACTTGTGCTCCTCGCTGTGAATCGGTTTGTACTCTATTTCTTTTTTCACGGGGACAAACACTTTCTTCACTATCGTGTGGGTGTGAGTGTGGAAATGTTTTGGTACGTGAATTTTGACGTGAACGCTGAAAAGGATAAATATGAATTATAGTAATAATTGAGGAGAGAGTGCAATCCATTTTGCAGTCTAGTTTCCCAAGAAAGTTGTACAAAAAAATATTGAAAAACGAGAGAAATTATATTTTAAACTTTTAAAATCGATAATTAAGCATAAATCATTTCAACTTCAAGAATAAACCTTCGGAAATTTTTTAATGTGTTGTAAAAATTGTTATAAACATTTGCAATCCAAGGACTCGGGTGCGTCTCAATTAAATTCCGAAAAAGAAACAGCCATTTTTCACGAAAAATGTCTATCCGGACTTTTTGCTCAGCACGAGTTGCGCGAAATTACCAAATTCCTCATGAATATTCAACAAAAAAAATCTCTTCAGTTAAAGAGTTATGCAACAAATGAAATGGAGATCAATTCCCTTACTGGTGGGATTCCCCTGGAACAGGCGCAGCAGTCGCAAACATCACCACGAGAACCATCAAGACAAGTATCTGCAATAATTACAGTGAATTAAAGAAACCAACATATGCGAACTCTTTCTATAATCACGGCTTGGAATTGTTCAACTTTTTGTTTCGTCGAATAACTGTATTTCCACGGTGAATTACCGTCGAACTGTCATAACATCTTATGAAATCAACGTATAACATAAAGACTAACTACAATTTAATTTAAATCACCGAAAGGTATTCATTGATAAAATTTCACTGGACTTGATTTTAATTTTAAACGCCGAAAAAGTGTTTACAAAATAATAATGACTAGTAGATGATTGAAAAATTTAATGAAATCCACTTGTACCCGTAACATCATATTGTTTCTCATCTCGTGCACTCTCGAATTTTCCGTAAAGACTAAACTCGATTTCGCTGCAGGCAGCCTTATAAATGTAAACATACTGTAATAATACGGGGCAAAATGGGAGCATTACTCTTCCTGATTGACTCTCACTCTCATTTCAGTGGCAACATCTGTGAAACACGCACCAGAATAAGCATCAAATGCAGATAAGTATGTTTACGATACAACGGATGAGAATTTTACTCGGAAGGAAGGGAAAGTTTTGAGGAAATACGACGGACTAAGGACTCTGGGCTTTTATGCATCAACGCGCTCACGTTACGTGTAATTCATGTACTCGAGGGATTGAATTAATATCCTTGGTATACGTCAAGTTCATTGCTCATTCAGCCATTACCGCTAGCAGGATAATCCGGCTAATCACTTCCGCAGGTGTCTAGACGTGAAACTTCATTTTTTATGGAATTATTTTTGGGTTGGGAAATTATTTCCTGATCTATCAAGACTTCCGATGGAAGGGTAGAAATTTCTATCAATCTTCATTCCTTCAAGCTCTGGTAAAACCTAATAGACGTAAAAGGTGAAAGTAAAAATGCAGAAAAAATAGTAAAATAGTATTATTTATTATTCTATGAAGATATTCGAACTGTTTATTTTTTGGGAGAAAAATTATTTTCGTGTTTTCCAGTCTATGAGACTTTTATTATTGTTTATAAGGCAAATATATGTGAAATCAAAATCAAATTAGTTAATGGAAACATTCAATTTTAAATAAAAATGACTTTCCTCCCCCGATGATCCTAGATCGACGATATTTTGCACGAAAAATTTCTGTCTCGATGTTAATCCTTCATTACATCGTAAAATTACTGTATCATCACCGGTGAATTACTCAACTTATTTTCTCTCCACATGAAGAAAGTAAAAGCCGACAATCTTCATCCTCTAAAGTGGCTTTCGAAGATAATCCAGAGACTTCGCCTCCTCAATTGCATCTCCATCCGAGTGACAATTTGTTTACGAACGGAAGTATCGATCAAAGGTTTACTTTCCCGTAATGATATAGTGATCTCATCAATTGCCCATTAGAACAGAAGGCGGTGAAATGCTATCCCACCACAGCCTCTCCAACAAATACGCAAACATTTTATCCATAAAAATCCATGCACACGTACACACTCTCTTTCACCTTCATCCAGACATAAGTGCGAGGGCTTTCCATTTCAAGTAAATCTCTCACGCGATGAGCGATAGAAAATTTTCCGACTGTGCAAAACAGTACATTCAATGCTTTCCTATTTCCTACTCCAGCTTTGCCTCCTTTTCTTTTTCACTTCAATTTTTCTGTCATCTCTAATTGCAATGGGAGCCTGTCGCTCTCTAGATATGGGAAATTGTGTGAAAACTCGTAAACAATCCCAGGAGACAATGTCTCCCAGCAATTGTGCGCTTCTCCTTCGTCCAGGATGAATGGGGAGTATCAACGAGACTAGGGTGTAAAAAAAATATAAAAAGTTTATTACAAACACAGAAACAAGTAAACACGAATATGTACAGGTGAATTATGTTACAACCAACAAAATAAAATTACAAATAAAACCTAGAGCATTGGCAGAAGGATTTCTGGGAGGAGAAAGGAAGTGATCATGACACGTGTGGGAGCGGTATCGATTGATGATGGACGGAATTTCACGTCAGTGAAACTTTTTTCATCCTTGCACTTTCACAAAGATGACCAGTGCCCCAAGACTAAAACAGAATCCACCGTGGGATGGACACGTTTCAGCGCCGGAAGGCCGTATTCGTGAGAAGTCCAATGTGAAGGGACAGGAAATAAGAAAAACAGGATACAGTACAATTCCGTTATAGCCGCTCTCGTTACTCGCACCTCTCCTCATTTTCTTTCGCCTATCTTTCAGTTCCCCGACTCTACTATACCTCCGGGCTACAATATGTAAACAATCCTTTGTTACTTTCAATGAGAAATTAAATTCCGGGGAAAATAGAGCCGAAAAAGAAATTTTTCTCGTATTTGAATTTGCTACGAAAAAAATTCACTTTACGGTCGCAAGCGCGTGGTGGGGGTAGTTTGCATATAGTCCGATTCTTCGAATTCGCTTCCCCTCAAGCCCCATACACGCGACTATAACGGCAATCTACTGTTTCTACCATGATTTTCTCCTCCCGTTGGTTCCTCCTGTCTTTTACTTCTTATGATAGCCAGAGAATCCACCCTGATCGCCATGACCACCCGATGAGTAAGAACCGCCTCCGAAACCGCCGCTGTGACCACCGGAAGAGTAGGAGTCGCCGCCACCAAAACCGCCGCTGTGACCGCCGGAAGAGTAGGAGTCGCCACCAAAACTGCCACCATGACCCCCAGAAGAGTAGGAATCGCCTCCAAAACCTCCGCCATGACCGCCGGAGGAGTAAGAACTGCCTCCGAAACCGCCGCCGTGACCGCCAGAAGAGTAAGAGTCACCGCCGAAACCGCCGCCATGGCCGCCGGAAGAGTAGGAGTCTCCTCCAAAGGAGCCATGACCTCCACCAGATGCGTAGGATCCTAGACCAGAACCGGAACTGGAGGAGTAACTCCCGCTGCTCGCGTGTGCTGAGGCGCCTCCGAAGCTACCGCCGAAGCTACCGCCGTGACCACTACAACATCAATCACTTCGATCGCAAAAGTTCTCGACAAAAAAATTTATTTATCGACGAATATGTATTTGAATTACTTCGAACAGTTGATTACTGACTAACCTGCTTCCAAATCCGGAGGATGAATCACCTCCGTGGCTGGATGGTCCACTGTAACTAGGCGGCGGTCCATAATTTGAGGAAGGTGATCCGTGACCAGATCCCCCATGGCTCGGAGGTCCATAACTCGAAGAAGGAGATCCATGGCCCGATCCTCCGTGACCCGAGGGAGGCCCGTAGTTCGAAGACGGAGGACCAAGTGAGGGTGGACCATAACTCGACGAGATATCCCCTCCGTGTCCAGAACCTCCCAAACCGCTGGCACTGAATCCACCTGAAGATCCGTGATCGTCTCCATGACCGCCACCATATCCTCCAAATCCGGAGCCTCCACTTCCGTGACCGCCACCGTGACCACCACCACCATAACCACCGGATCCAAAACCTCCACTTCCGTGATCGTCACCATGACCTCCGCCGAAGCCACCGCCAAAACCACCTCCAAAACCACCAGAACCATATCCATGATCGTCTCCAGGACCTCCAGAACTGTATCCACCACCTCCACTAGATCCAAAACCTCCGCCTCCCCCATGACCACCACCTCCTCCAGGACTCGTTATAACAATATGATCGCCTCCACCTCCTCCGCCTCCATGATGATCATCGTGATGCTTCTCCTCTATCGGTAGATGAATTTTTATATGAACACTGAAAAAATTTTACAATCCATGTACAAACAATTCGGATGAAACAAATTCGCCACGCTTTTTTTTATTTCTACAAGTAATAAAAATTGATACGTTATAGATGATTGAGCATTTTTGGATTACTCAAACTGGCTTTTTCCTCTCGCATCCAATATTATATTTGATCAAAGTATTTAATCAGCAGTTGTGAACTCACTGTTCCGTGCCAAAAGTAGCTGTTGCCACAGCAATAGTTGCAGCCAGAATCACTCCAGCCTGAAATCACGAAATCTAATTAATAACATAAACGTAGAAACTAATCACACAACTCAATTCCATGAAAATACAAGCTTACAGTGAACTTCGACGCCATGATGTCACGTTTAATCAATCAATGCTCTTTTTTAGATCAGCACCCAACACCAGGTGGATGCTCACTGTCATATATATTTAAGTCAACCTGCGGTTTATATATCCCAGACAGTGAGAAAATCATTCGAAGGGAAGGAACAGCTCTTAAACGATATTGCGGAAGTGGGGGCAATGATTATATTCGAGTGATCGTCGTTCCTGTCCTGTTCCTCATGAGGAGTTTCATTGCAGGAAGACGAGGAGGAAAAGTGAGTGCTGGAGTTGTGTGGAGACCCACACCACCGGCCGTGACCCACAGCCAGTGAAATTCGCGCTCCGGGCATTCTCCACTCAACTTGATCATTCCCATACCTCAGCTCACCATACATATCCAGACAACGTTTCGTCATTAACGCTTCATTGACGGAACAATTAGCGTCGGATCAAAAAAACTCATGCCAGAAATGGTAACATTCATTGCATAATCTGGATCAAAAATCTTCAAACAATTTTCAATTGTAAGTCTTCAAATCAGTAGCCAAATAGTCAAACGATTTAAGACGAAAAAATTAAGAAACCTACCCTTCCTGTGAAAGCTGCGTTATACTCTCAAGAGCTGATTTCAGTCACAAACTCGTTTCCGAAGAAAACCGACTGAAGCATCAACTGTGCAAACTCAAAATTTTTGGATTAGATCTAGTCGTAACTTGACTTTCCTGTATTAAAAATAAAATGCAATGTTATGTTTCTTTCATGGGTCTTTGGCATTCTTTTTCAGCTTGTTGCAGTAAAAGAGCATCATAAAAATCCAAGAAGCGTGAAAGAATAGTTCCGATTGAACTCTCAAAAGTTATTTCTAGTCTGGCGCCTGATTAAATCGAAAATCTATTGAATCATAGAAACTGTTGAATCAAGGGAAACGCTGTTATGTCTAGACGTGTTCCCCCATAATGATACAGATTAAAATGGCTCAAGGGGCTTTTGCCTTATGCACGTGCGTGTCTAGACCTATTCTATCTCCAGTTGGATTGAATCACTCAAAGCACTCAGGTGGTTTATGTCAATAACTGAACTAGTGTCGTTCAATTACTTGGGAATCGTCGCCATCATTGGAGCTGGATTGGCTCTCTACATGGCGTGCACTTTCCATTTCACCTCGTAATAATTTTTACTAGATTATACTATTTATCAGATGTTGTTCAGAGGATTTGCGTATTTGCAGAGCACTGGTCAGTGGTGCATAGTAGATATGATTACTGCGCCGAGGTGCATGATCTGCTTCATGCGTTTCCATCGGTTATCACTCTGGATCCATTTCATGTGGCTTATGTAAACCCGGTTTTCCTCCAGCATCAAACTCACGTCTTCCTGTACAACCTCAACGGTTACATTCTATTACCGATAATTGAATAATTGACGGGACAGAGGTCAAGACATTTCAAAATCTCATTGACAATTTCCTGAAAGTTGAATGTCAGGATTTGGAAATTCAAAGGGAAGTCGAATAACTTCTTAATTGGAACAGTAGAAATGGCAAATAGACGTCAAAGGATAAAAAATTAGTGAGGAAATGGCTTTAAGAATGAAAATTCCGTCGTTTCGATTGGGTAGCGACAAACATCCGTATTTTATTGATGATCAGGAACACTCCAAGGAAATAGAAAGTGGTTGGAGTCGTGGGATGAGCATTGAAGAAGACTTGATTCTACACGTGCCCTTTCCACCGCTCTCACCTTGTTTTCCCTTTTTTGTTGATCTGTGGGAGCGATTTATGTAATTATCTGGCAAAAAAATTATTAACAATACGTGAAAAATCCATCTGGATGACGTTGTAGCGATTTCAATGCTTGAACCTGATTTATTGTTGCGATCTTGACTTTCTCTTCTTATCAAGATAGTTTTTATATCAAATGATATTTCACTTCTAAGGACGGAAGGAAACTGAGCGCTTGGATCTATCGAATCGGAAATGGATTGATTCTATCGACTTGTCGGGAAGTGGCCTTGGCAGTGAGGTGTATGAACCTGTCATTACGTGATACTACTCATTGAACGTTTGCACCTTTCACAGCTCGACACTCTTGAGAATAGTCATGATATTGTGAATAGTTACCGAACTGGATAAGACCTCGGATATTTTGTTTCTCTTATTAGTTATCGTGAATTTGCAGTTTTAATAGAGTAAAATTGAGATAGAGAGTGAGTGCGTGAAAGCCGGCAGTCGAGACCTTTCTATGCACGTCTACGCATTTTTTTTCACTCTCGACAAAACGACCTTGACTTTAATTGTCATTAATTTATGTAATACCAGAAACATTGAAATTTCGGTGTTGTTTTTTTACGTTGAGGGAAGATGTGTCAGGAGAGTATCTTTTAGTTTATAAATTTTATATTTACTTTATACATTAATTAGAATTAAATAAATTCAAATAAACATAAAGTATCATGAGGTATAAAATACAAATATGATCGAATATAAAATTGTACGATGAGTCAGCTCTTCTTCCGATCTTTTCGCGGAAATAATTGTTGAAAATTTCCGTGATTTTCCCTTTTCAATTCAGATAAAAATTTCTAAATGTGTGTATTACTGAGTGAGAATCTCCCTGGCTGATGCTCGATTACACGTAAAAGTTGGTTATCACTCCAATATACAACGCACAACACACCATAAGAACCATTGTATTTATTAAGAGTGAAATTCATAAAGAGGCTAATATGATGTCTGGAGTCATAAAAGTGGTAGTATAATGCAGTGTAATCAACAATAATAATATTAAAGGTGTCACCACGTAAGGAGCCATGACAAAGCTGCGAATTTATCCTCATTACTTTATATTCAAGTAATTAGGCATTTATGCACTTCCCAGATTGCCCACCGTAAAACTAGGAGTAAAAAAGTAGAATCGTGCGGTCAATTATCAATTTGCATTACTGGAGACTGCGGATACCCACGTCGATTAATAATCACTCGTAAATATCGAGATTAATGAATAACGAATTATTGATGTATGAGCTCTCTCATTATTAAACTCATTTGAGCGGAAGAAAAAAAAGGAATTATTCTCGCATAGATTAAAACGACTTTCTCGCGATAGCGGAAGTGGCGGTGGGAGCAAAAAATTCAGTATGAAAAATTTCAGTATGAAAAAATGCGAAATTGTTCCAGTCGTTCGAATCCTCGTTTTCAATGGAAGAATGTCGGACTGGTGAGTTCATTTGCCTCTGGTGCACTTCCACCTTCCCTTTCCATATTGGCGTATGTATCCGCGTTATTGATAGGAGAAGAGTTTATTCCTCCTTGGCCTTTCTTACCGGTTTCACGGCACCGGGCTTTTTTTATTCTCATCTCTCTCCCACTTCTCCCTCTTTTCCCTTTCACGGGGTACATGTCTGAGTAATACGGACACAACTACTGACTGTACGTCTCCTTTTGGAAACGCGCGTTGAAGAGCTGGCCTCGAGAGTGTTTCATGGTCAAGAAGGAATTCTCCACTTTCTTCGATTCCAGATTCAACAATGTCAGGTAATAACAATCATTTTATTCATAATGCGAAAAAGGGAATCGATCGTTCTGACTTGACTGAACTTAAAAAAATCCCTGGGGAATTAAAAAAAATCGGTAATCTCCAGTCTGTCGTTCACGGACTATTAATAATTAGAGACAATTTGTTTCACTCCACTCTCCCCTTCTTCCGCAAAAACGAGCGCAATCCATCATCCATTCATATTTGCCAAAATGATTTATTTTATCAATATCAATAGATTTATTATCCTCCACATTGAGATTACACTTTCTGATTCGTAAACTATTTAATCTCTATGATTAATAGTTCGAGGAAGTTATTTCCGTGAATAGACATTGATAAAATATTAATCAGGCTCGTTAGTTGCGATGGAAATGAGAAAATCTTTATAACTTATGATTAAAAAATCTCATCAATTAACGCTTGAGTAAATGTGTTATAAACCTTTTGCGTGGATGTCGAGATCTTGCGAATACGGGATGATCTTGTTGCAACGAACTTTCTAGACTTTCAAACGCTCAACTGGTCATCGGCTCTACCAGTGAAAGTACTTCGATATTCCGAGAGTATAAACGCATTTTCAAGATACTGAGGGTACTCAGCACACCTGCAATTATTCCATAATAACCGACGTATGAGGCACGAGAGGTGGCCCTGACCGTGATAGATCTCGAAGAAAAATCTCGGTTAATAAAAACAATTCAACAGAGGATATCATTGATGATGATTAGTACATTTGTTTTTTTTTTTACAAAAAAATAATTAAATACAAGAAAATAGCTACTGAAAAACTTGTCGTGTGTACATCTAAGAGTTATCACATGTTTTCTAATCTAAAATGAGCAAATTCTCTAGAATACTATCTACAAACTACCGAGAACATTGAAGTTTAGAATGGCTAGATGGTAGACAACTCAGGATTACACAGAGAGCTTTGGTAAAACGATGACAAGTGTAAAAAATTCTATTTATAAACCTAGCCAATTCGCTGAAAAATTCTGTACACTTTAAATTGAGAGTTATTCTTCAAGTCCTTAGACCCTGCTATTGATATATCAAATATTTCAATAATGATAAATAAAATTGTATGAAAATTGCATTAGAAATCAAAAAAGATTTTCCAGCGAAATCCTCAAGTTTCTAGATGAAATTTTCGATAACGTCAATGAAAAGAAAAAAACCATCTCTCTACCCTTGTGCATGTATAGGACCTCCCTGGAATCCTGGCGGTCCTGGGAACTGAAGAGATGGCATAAAGGGATCTTGTGAAACGGTGTACTGAATCTGTGGTACACCCGCCTGCAGGATATCCTGTGGATTAGCAGAGGGCACAGTCTGAATTGGTTGAGTCCTGAAGTCATGTCCCAGTTCCTCCTGGACATCCTCTTCGACGGCATAGCCCTGCTGCGGGCCCTGTGGACTTGCAGATAAGAAAGCGACGCCAAAGGTATTCGGGAGGAATTGGCCCGAGAGCTGTTGCGACGCACCTTCAACACCAGGTATATTCCCATGCTCAACGACGGTCGATAAAGCAGATGCAGGTGAAGAGTGCAAACCTCCAGGCCAGCCTCTAGCCAACTCTATCAACTTCTTATGATAATGACTGAGATCAATACCATCTTGCAGAACAATTCCACCCTTGTTGTTGTCTCCTGTGCTTCCCCCTCCTGTCAGAATTGATTTATCTTTGTTGTAAAAACTTCCGGGGGAAAAATATGGCTTCTTGGGAATTCCATATATAACTTTGTTGAAAGGTTTCTCAGGATTCTTTGACGGAAGATATTTTGCTCTCTGGTGATCAGTTCGCTCCTGATTATCATGCTGATGAGTTTCCTCATCGTGCTGGAGATAGTTGTCTGTCTGCTGAGTCACTTGGTGGGAATAATAATTTGGGAGACTGTGCTCGGGGTGCTCGAGGGAACCATTGGAGTCCGGGAAGCCCTCGTCTTTGATCGGTTCATGGGCATAGACATTACTAAATGCTTGACTGATCCCTTTACCACCGGGAATCACTACGTGATTTACCTTGTCGGGGGATTGGTTGAAGTTGTCACTGTAGGGGTGGTTTTGATTGAAGAAGATGGGCTGACCCTTCGTGGGGAATTTGTGATGTGGGTAGGGATGACCAACGTGGGATGACAATTCGTTGTCCAGGAATTTCGGGGCCTTTGCCAGTGGGGGACGCGTAAATTGGCGCCATGGGGTACTCTGGGCACGACGAACTGCACGTGGAATAACAAATATCATCTTTTTCCTGGAACGGGGGTAAGAAAAAAATTATTATTTTGCAATCACATGTGTGGTGTATAGGTACTCACTGTCCTGCTGCTAGAAGAGGACCGCAGGTCACCAAGACGCATGCGAATATAGTCTAGAATAAATAATAAACAGTTAAATCAAGGTGCTAATAAAAAAGCTAAGATGAAAAATAATGACGGAAAATTCGCTCACCGATAGACGCATTCTGTTTTCCCTGAATTTTCTCAGGCAAGTAGAGATATCCGATTCCCTTTAGATATCCTGAAGTGTCAATTTCAATATTGACTCGTTAACATGGAACTGTAGACGTGGAAATATCGAAGAACACCGTCAGCATGTCGATGGGAATGAGATTAACAACGGCAAAGACGCCTGCTCCAGTTTAAAATCTTGGGCAGAGTGAACGTCTGAGATTATATAGAGTATCAACGTCGACAGTCGAGAACGCATTGGCAGTCTTAGAGATTGGACACTTTGCTTTTATAGATGAATAAAAAGAAGCAACCCTACCGATGACTCTCCCACCAGAGTTCCATTTGCCTTTTGCATTACCCACACTAACAAATTCACCACCAACACCACTAAACTGGCAAGTTCTCTCCCGATAAAATTATAATGACTGGCCATCGCTTAGCTGATCTTCATTGAGAGTATGTACCGTTCTCCCCGCAGTGGGAAGGGAAAAGCAAAAAGTAGTTAGTGAACTAGAAATGTTAGTTTTCTTCGAGAGTAAATAGGCGGGATTGAAATCGTTCGCATATTTCGCTGAAAGGACGAGAGTGGAAAGTTTTTTTTCTCAATCTCGTCGTACTCGTTCCTTCTCACTTGCTCACGGACACTTGTTAAAATTGGTTACAATAAAAAGGGAAATCTGGAGTAGGAAAATTGAGACATAACTTTACGCTCGTTAAAGGTGTTGGTGTCATCGTGTTGGTCAGGGAGTCATAAACATCATGCGTGGTGAAATGAAATTCAACTTTTTGCTCATCTTGAAAAATTAGTTAATCCTTATCATTAGCCCAACCCCTCGTTAGAATGTTCACAACTTTTTCTGGCAAATTATCGTGAACGAGTATCTCCGAGTTGTGTTATCAATGATCGAGGAGAAACCCTGAATTCGGTGGGATTTACGTGATTGGCGCTTTCTAAGTGTCAATCGTTAGCCATCAGAGCTATTGAAAATTTATCGAAATTTCAATGATCAATTCAACAATGAATTCTAGCTACATGTAAATTGTCTCGCACTTGATCATTCCCGATCGTTTATGTACGATACAATTTACATTGATGGGGTATGAAATGCCTCGCAGCGTTAACGAGGCAGGAACGCTTCACGGATTCAGATAATTCTAGGGTTCGCGGACTGCAATTTATGTGCACCGATTGATCATTGCTCATAAGCTTTCCTGGTTTTTCCCCATTTTAAAATTCACTCCAACAAAAATCATTGATGTCTCAGATTGTGCCTAGAAATTATCCTCATGTTTTTCGTATCTTAGTATCGCTACTTTTCCCATCAGATTTATATCAACCGCACATCGAACTTGATTTTTTATCTGAAGCCTTCATAGCCTCCTCTTATCGTCCAGCATTCCAACTAGACCTCGGGCTCTGATGATTTTTTTCACACTGCATTGCTCGCCTTTCTCCAATGTGAATCACGAAACCTAATGAAAGCAAGATTGATTCGATTATATTCAGAATAATTATTAATGTACAAAAAATTGTTGAATAATCTGATCAAGAGTATTAGAAAATCGTTACAATTACTGAGAAACTATTTACACATCGGAAATCCTGGAAGTATTGCGCGATTTGTTGAAATATAATTGATAATTTTCCGCTGCTGTGCCGTAAATCTCTTGCACAGTCAGTTATTTCCGTTTTTTTCTCCATTTCTCGATCTCCTTTCACGTATTTTTTTTCTTAATCGGGAATTGGCAATTGTTAGAAATGGAAAGGGATTCTTCTGGGGACTTTCTTCGTCCTCTTGTTGCTCGTAGCTCCTATTTCTGGGCAATTTTCAGTTGAAATTAAAATCTAATTAATCCTTGACTCAGTTATCTACTCCCATTAAATTGACCTTGAACCTGAGTACACTAATTCGTGTCATTTGAGTGTGCAACGGCGTTCAACCCCCGTTGAGTGCACGTAAGTGAAAGGAGCATAATTGCATTAATACCCACCATCTCTCGACATTCACTATGAGTGCAAGTTGTATTATAATAAAGCAAATAGAGACGTAAGACTGTTGTAGATCTTGTTAAACGTTGGGTGAGTGGGCTCGGCCAAGGAGAGGGCGACAATAGAAGTCAGGATAGTGTTTTTTGTTCTACCCCTTTCACAATTTTTAAATTAACTGAGCACTATTACTTTTCAGATACGAGAATGGTGGAGTTGATCCAACATCTATATAAGTGGCGAAGCATACTGTGGAGAATTTCACAGATCAACCGCTGGGGCTTTGACGACAATACTTGTTGCTAAACAATGCTGAGACTTGTGGTGAGTTTCATTCAATCGATACCCTCTCGTTAAATCATTCATTCATACCTTAAACTTCTTCATTTTTCGGGGCACTTTCAGATTGTTGGGTTTCTCGCTGGAACTCTAATAGTGTCTTGTGATGCGGGAGGAGATGGTCATGGAGGACAGTGAGTAACTAGAAATAAAAATAAGCCAAAAATATAATATACGTATTTTTTACATAATTGATTTGAGGTAATTTAGAAATGGCTTAGACCCTTAAGCCCTGAGCAATTAATTTCTATTGTGAAAAAAGTACGTATTTAGGTTGTTGTGATTTATTTCATGCTATGTGATCAGAATTTCTCGGAAAACTCCAATTGTGATTTTTCCGAGGTACATGAAAGGGAATAACTAATGGTTTTTTTCGTCTTTATTTTATTTATGATTCAAGTGACCACATAATAATTCACGTTCCCTACCACATTAAGACGATAAAGCATACTCACACGATAACGAAACACGTCCACCATAAATCAGGCGGTGGAGATCATTACGAGGTCCTTGGGTACACAGTGGGTCATCCAATTGATCTCGGAGGGCATGGGGGAGGACATGGGGGAGGACATGGAGGAGGCTGGTCTGGAGGACACGGAGGTGACTGGTCAGGTGGCAACGAAATTGGAGGGCATCATTTTGGCGGAGAGGAGGATGGGGGTCAAGAGTACGGGGGATATTGAATATTTCTCCCTAGTCCAAGCCAATCCAAATATTCTTCACCTTTTTCAACTTTTCTACCCTATTTAATAAAAACCCTGAATGTCTTCAGATGTCATATTTTATGATTTTCTGACAATTTATTATAAAAATACATAGAAAACCAAGTGTTTATGTTCAACCGATTCACTTATTGATCCAATTGGTCTACGGGGTCACCAAATCCCTCTTTAACTACAACTTAACATCTTTCATTCGTCTTGTCTGAAAACTTTTCGATTTATTACTGTGAGTGAATTATGGGTTCCGATGGAGGTCAAGAACAAACACATTATTCATATCTTTCAATAATTCTACATTATTTCATAAAAAAAACATCCTAGAATACATTTTTGTACATAATCAACGACTTTATTATAAAAATATACAAAAGAACTGATTAAAATGTCGTGCTTAACCGAGTTTTTGCTTCATGTAATCAATTCCTGGAAATTTGAAATTCTCTTCACTACTCTGCTTCTTGGTTTTCTCGGAAGATTCTTCAATTTTATTTCTATAAAAACTGTTCGATTTATTCTCATGCACATGGCCGTGGATTATTTCTCCACCAGATTTGTGACTCTGATCGTAGGTGGTCCTCTCGTAAGAGGCGGGAGCTTCTTCTGGACTCTCAGTAACTTCATAATGACCAGTGGTGTATCGAAGAGGATGGGCATATCCAGGGACTCCTTCCTCGTAATCATTTTTGAATGAATCTGGATTGTGAGCATATTGGGCATCACCAGTGAAATCGTCGTAGTATGGAACAGTGGTATCTGATTGGTGAGCCCTGTAGGTGACAAGGGCTGGATACACAGGAGTTGGTACTCGATTATGATCGTCATAATTTTTACCACCACCGTACTCTCCATGGTGTCCCGTGTGCTGACTGTAGGTGTACCAGCCATCATGCTGATTGTGGAAATGCGAGGGTTTTTTCTTCTTCGATTGGTGATGAACGTGAATGACAATCGTATGAGTGTGCTCGTGATGCTTTATTATTTCCGGCACGTGGATTTTGAAATGAACGCTGAAAGGATAATTAATAAGTTTTTCAAAATAGCGCAGTAGTAGCGGAGTAGAATAGTAAGACATCGATAATCTCAATCGTATAATCCCAATCCGCATATTTCAATCCCATATGGTAATCTCACGTAATTGAAAATGCGTATCATCAAATTTTTGAATACATCTACTTTGATTTGAAATTCACTAGACAAAACTTACTGCTCTTTTTCAGCAATAACTTCCAACGCCCCAGTGAGAGCAATTAAAAGCGCAAGCTTTGGCCCCTGAAAATGAGAAATAAAAGTTTTCAACCACTTGTTTGAATATCTTGGAGAAAATTTAATTTATAGCCACTGTACTTTCACTATCGAACTCATGGACATAATTAAACCAATTATTCTAGTTGGTAGTCAATCGAACGAGTGGTAGAAACGAAAGTGATGGAGAACTTAATGGTCATACATCAAACTTGTCAATTAAAATCTATGTTAAATATTTTAATTGGACGTTTACCATCTTTGCTACCTGGAGGAATGCTCGACCACTTTTGATGTCGATTGATCGCTGACAGGAGTGTTTATATATTCCACCACCCCTTTTATTTTCCATCGGTTTATTTCATTGTCAGCCCAAGTATCTGCGAATGTTTTAAACGAGGTTCCATCACAATAACTCTCTCGCTTTCGCGATTGACCGCCACTGCGATTTGCACGATTTCCCTCGGGGGCACCAGTTCCAATGTCACTGGAGAAGTACCGAGAATTGGAGTAAAACACTGTGAAGTTGAATTCCATTTTTTTTTTGTTGTCAGTTTCCAGAGATCGGATATCCCATTCAATTCGCATGGCATTTTTTACACAAGTGAAACAAATACATTGACTCATTGTGTTAATCTGAGAATGATAGCAGACCGGAGAGAATCGTCATGGTAGTTGAACTACGAAAAAAATGTTGAGAAAATTGCGAAAACTGGAAGTCACTATCGAGAATCAATAAACACAGTTCCCACTACATATAATTATTTTTTAATTCCCGAGTTTCAGATGACAAGTTTCCATCGACAAAAACATCTTCACTTTCTCTCATTTTTTTTTACTCATAAATATACACGACCTGGACGTGCACTTTGCAATGCCGCATTTCTTTATAATAATCAATATAAAATGTATAGAAGAAAATGAGTCGCAATGAAACATCGATTCACACATTTTATTGGGCTCTAAAAAAATTGAATGAGTCATAGTGTACGTAGGGTATATAAGACTCCCAATACCGTACAATATGATGTCTCTTTTCACATTATCCTTGATACTATATACTATAGATTGCAAATTCCTTACAATATTGAAGATGAAACTAACACCGAGAATACTTTGACATAAATTAAATATTTATTTGTTATATATAAAAATTAAATAGTTCTCTTCATATTTGTACATCCCGTAGTCACTGCATTCTTTTGATTCTTCTTAATAAACAGGTAAATGCTTAATTATCATTTGGTAAAATGATCAAACTCTTCAGGTTCCTCGCTATGCTCGTTTTTTCTCTCCTCATGTATCTGAGGTAGAACTTTGTAGACTGTGTGTGTATGCTTGATGTTCTTGACTTTGTACGGTAAATGGATAACAACTTTTTTCCTGCGAAACGCCAGAATAATCATTAAGAATATTTGATATCCTGTTTTGACGGAAGATATTTGAAATTAGCATAGCATGTAATGAATTCCAGATCATTACCCATCGGTGAGCTCCCGAAGTATCAGCATGGTAACGAGTACTGCTAAAACAAACTGAAAGATGAATCATACTTTTTGATTTCTGTTAATAATTTCTTATCACTAGCCATTAATCCTCACCAATCGTTCGTTCTTCATTTCTGTATGGGTTCTCTATATGAAACCAGTTCCACCGAGTGATAAAGACCGTCAAAATCCAATTGATGTTGATCTGAAGCTATAAAGATACCCAACTACGCGTTTAGCGCTTGCTTTGTGGCTTTATATATGTTGAGAACTAGCGAGGCGCATCAAAATATCCCCATAGAATTCAGTGAAACTACAGCCTCATCCACGTATCAACGACCGGAACAAATCTATGAGACATAAAAGATTCTGTTTATTCGTATCAGAATGAATACTTACGGAGAAGTTTAACGACTTGGACTACTGGGTGGCACCAAGTCCTTCGTAATTAAACTGTCACTCTGATGTTGTCTCAAATTAACTGGAGTGTCCAAATCACTGGGACAAACGAACTGGAGCACTTGATATCAATCTAGGAAGGAGTCGATAGTCTCATCAAACAAAGTGTTTGATGCTCTTTTAAGCCTATGATTTGAAGAGCACACTGATTTTTCCACTGTGCTGCACGCTATTAATTCTTCAGCATTAAACAATTCCTCTTAAATAAAAAGGAGAAGCGATTTCACTGCTTCAAACGAGAGTAATTGAACTCTTCATCGCGTGTGGTCGATGTATGTGCGTAACGTCGGTGATATTCAATGCCAAGATCACGATAAACTCGATGGAAAATCATGAATGCCGTGTCAATTTCTAGGGTAAATCAGCTTCTAGTTCCACTTTTAGAAAATCTACCTCATTTCTGCTGCTTCAAAGTGTAAAAATACTATTCAAATCTTTCCGGCTAGGCAACTAGAAACTGGTAAAGTTTATGTACGACTAGAATGCGTGAGTTTAGTTGGATTGCTAAAATTTATATTCACTACTCTAATCCATAGGTTATTCATATTTAATGGGAGTGATTATAGCTTTGTCAAGTTTTTTTTCATGCAGAGTGAAAGCCACCGAGATCTCGATATCATGATTTTTCCATTTCTTCAGTTATAATTTTATCCCGATCTGAGGCTATTGAGGCTCGTAACCTTCGTACACTTTAATTAGTTTATTCGTGAACCTCAATTGGAATTCTTCCACGTTTAGTATTAATTTATCCTGTAAAAATTCGTGATAAATAGCTCATTCAGTTACTGGGATCTATTGAGGTGTTTGAGAAATCTATTACTGAGTCACTGCGCAAGTTTTACGGTTGTTTTATACTCTGAAACATACTCATACGAATTAGAGGTATAAATAAACTCAACGAGCTACAAAAGTCATGGTAATCTTATTTATTAGTCTTTATAAAAAAAAAGAAATAATACAATTAATAACAGTGAACACTTCTCACATCGCTGTGGCTGTTAATTCTCAACAAAGAATATCACGAAAGAAAAGTAAAAAGAACCAGAGGTAAACAACAGGGAAAAATCAACAAGACTTATTCGATAACGATAGATTAATCTACGATTGAAGAAATGAAATACATTTTTGTACATTGAACAATTTTCTATCAGCTCGATTTTGGTTTTCCCTTGCCCCTTGAACTCGTCACAGAAACGGAACTACTCACGCTTTCCACGATTCTCACCCTCCTATTGCTCTTTCCTAATTTTCGTTGATACATTTTCGCTCGTTTGCCCTCATTTTGTCGAGAGTAATTACCAGTTGAGTTTTCCACCCTGTCAAATGCAGGAGTTGTGCTCCGCTGTTCTGAAGTGACAGCTTCCGTGCTGACCTCGGGAGAAAGATCCTGATTCTCCGCCGAATAAACCGGATACACCGTGGATTTTGGCTCCATCGGCTTCCAATTATTCCTCTTCCTTCCACGAATTTTTTCGTAAACCCTTGGTTTCTCAGTAGCACCTTCCATCGATCGTATATTCATAAACCTCTTCTCCATGTACTCCTGACTCTCCCCTTTTCCCAACATCAATCCATCCTTTTTCTCCACCTCACCCTCATCCATCCTTGAGTCAGTTCTCCGTTTTTCCTCCTTTCCCTCGCGCTTCTCATTTTTCTCATTTCGCTCCTTCCAGTCCTTCAGATCCGGGGCCACAATCTCCTTAATCTCAGTGGAACTGAATTTAACACTCTCCGTCGACTTCTGATTCTTCTCGTCGGCACTACGCTCAGTCGTGGGTGAAGCCGTCGTGGTTTTCTGTGCTCTGGTCCAGAAACGATTTCTCCAGGTGGGATTTGTGGGAACCATCCTGTCAGGACGATAAATCTCCTTGTATTTGTCGGTTACTTTGGACTCTGACAATAACTCCTTTGATTGATCTACATTTGGATATTGTAATGCACTCTCCCTTGAACTGTCATACACATCTTCACTGCTCTCCGTTTCATTCCTGATCTCGTGATGATCAATGCCATTGTGATGATGTTGCGGATTGATATTGACCTGATGATCTAGGTGGTGTTCGTTCAGGGGTGGGTAAATCGGGTAATTGGTTGTTTTGAGGGGTTCACCGTAACGAGAGCCCCTGCCGTGAGATATGGAATTATCAAAATCATAGGAGCCGTATGGATTTTGCGGATAGCGAGGACTGTATGGTGGTTCGTAATGCGACTGAGGTGCTCGATACTGATGGTATGTGCCCTGAGGATGATTATAACTGTTGGGGTACATGTTTTTGTTGTAATTCATGGGGTAGTGCCCACGCATGAACTGGGGGTGGCTCCAGGGGGCTGTCGGAGTTGGTGATGCCATTGGAACAAATCCCGCTGACTGCATTGGGACTTGTCGTGTTGGGGCGATGGGGAACACTGGTTGATATGTGTAATACGAGGATGAAATTCCCATCTGCCCTGGCATCTGACCCCTCCCGGGGTTCATCACTCGGACGACTACACGATTCTGGGTGTTGGGGTGGGAGTCCAGTTGCTTTATGTAGACTTCGTCGTCCATTCCCGGGATTCGAATCGGCCCCAGCATCGGTGGTGGCTGATAGGGCTGGGACTTCCTCGGGGACACCATCCCCCGGAAAATATTCGCTAGCCAGTCTAAGGGTCCCTCCTCCTCTTCCCGTAATTTTGAAACTGGCTGGAGGATCAGAGCTCGTGGCACCCGGATAGCAGTTTCTCTATACATTTTTAATCATTTTGAGAAATTTTTATCGTATCATATCATATGTATTTTTTCATGAATTCTGTTGCGATGTGGTAAAAGAGAATAAGTGCATTTTTTCGACGTCATTTTTTAGGAAATATCTCCGAGCCGAAGGATCATTCTGAGATTTGCATACACGGAGAGAAATATTCGATAAAAAAACTTGTCTTTTCCGTAATTGTTGTCTGACTTTTTGTAAAGAACTGAGACAGCGCCGCGTAAATTTTATTAATCACTTCCGTAATCGGTAAGCAAGCTAAAATTCTATAATTTTTATTAACCATTTATCTCCGTGTGATCGCTCTTTCTCGCAGCTCTAATCTGTCTCTCTAAAAATTGTACCCGCACAAAACCCGATAACTCCTTCTCATTCAAAGATATTAAAAAATCAGCCTAAAAAAAAGTGCACTTGCCCTAATTAACCACTTCACTAGACAATTTGACTGCAATACTGACTGAATTTGGTGATCAGCCTGGGATACCGCTGCGATGGCCAGCAGGAAGGCTCCAACCTGAATAAAAAGCGCACCATTACTTGAGAAATCAACATTTATGCCCTGTAATTGCGATGAAAAATTATTTGAATTCATTACACTAAGATATACACGACAATTCATTGCTAATATTTTTCTCATTAGACACTTATGATCACAGTTTATCTGGTATAACAGTCGGACACTGAGGGATAGTGAGAAGAATTTAGTATAATCGCTGATAATTAATTTAGCCGCAATTTGTTGGAGTTCTGAGTTATCCGGAGATTAAAATCCTGGGATGAGAGACTAGAGTGATCCCATCAACAACTTGATCTTGTCTGATCAGTGAAGCGAACTCCACTCACCGTTATCAGGCATAAGATCCTCATGCCTATGCGTAAATATCCCCCAACACTGAGCCTCACTTCACCGAGTCGTACCACTAGAACGACTGTCGTACTGACGACATGTTCCCACGTCTTTTAAAGGCTTGCCTCCTCGCAGTTAAATGTGGAGGTTTAGGTTTTACGTTGGTGTATGGTTCACAGGTGCGATCATTGCCCTCTCGATTGTCAGGACGTGAGATGATTCCACAGGCCCTTTTCTAGGCTTCAATTCGTAGGAAAATATAGAGCTCTATGGATCTATGACGCAGGTCGCGTACCTTATCACTTACCTGATCGCACGTTTTTCGGTGTTTTCATTTTTGTCCTCTTTTCGGCTTTTCCGTGGAATTTCTTCCAGGAAACTTTGAGATACTAGTCGGAGTATACGGGAAATAGTTTTTTTTATTCACGTTGGCTTCATTTCGTCATCACATTATACTTTGTAGTTTTTCATATTCTCTGGCGGAGAATCAATTATTTCCGGAGAAAATCTGTTTCTACCTTGGGATTATTATGTATTGCGAGGAAATATAATATTTTAATATTTTTCAAAATCCATGGGGATGTTGAAGTGTTCGCGATTTTTATTGATTAGTTGGTTTTTTTCTCGTTATTTTTGCTGTGAAAAATTGTTTCATGGAATAATGCACTTTCGCCGAGAAATTACGGACAGAAACACCACAAAAATTTCCCAACTCCATGAGAACTCTGCAAAAATTATTATCCCCCGGAGAATTTATCTCTGAAATACTATAATCTTGTCCAGGTTTATTGCGTTTGTTTTTAAATTTTTGCATAATTACTGGATTAGTGTTTTTTTTTTTCATGACAATGCACGTTTTTCTATCGATGATGATAAGAAGAGCGCCTGGTGATTTCTAAAGAGCTCAAGGCGCAGGATGAAACTTTGAAAAAAAATTTTAAACGTTGTAACATTGAAAACGTTTCACGGTGAAATGTTATTTCCACTTTTTCCTGAACTCCATAATCCTGGAAAATTGAAGTTCATGGCTCCTGTGCAACCTTGACGATAATAATTTTACCGTATCAACCGAAAGTCACCTCCTCTGATCTAGTTTTATCTAATCGCAACAGTAAAAGTGCCCAGAAGCCAGGAGCCGGTACCAATTCAAATTGGTAAGAGAAAATCGCGAAGCTCAAGTAATAAAAATATCACTTGAAAAATTCACATTATATAAATTCTAATTAAAAGCAATTTCTTCCCTCCCCCACACCCTCCACTCTCCCTCCCACTCCATTTTTCTATCCCACCTGAATTTGAGAAAACTACTTGACCTTTCTAAGCTATAAATCTAATTTCGTTCTCCCATTTGCTGAATTTGTAATGGAAAACTAGTTTGCACATTTCACTGGCAATAAATTCTGTATAAGCCCATGAACTTTCAATGCAAATGTTCGAGGGTCGTCGATGGATCGCGAAGACGAGTTTTCCCTCTTGAAGATTCTCGAACGATTACAAATTCCTCGGTTTTTTTTTTCACCGCCAATACTAAATCCGTCCAGAATGGTGGCTGTCATCGAGAACCTGTCAGCAAAAGTCGGTAAAAAAAAACTCGTACACGTCGTTTCGTACAATTATTAGAATTTCCTTTCCCCCTTGTTGCCACCACCGCCATCAGAAAGCTAACATTAGAACAGTCGATTTCTTGTCCTGCAAAATGCAACGAAGCGTGTGCCATTTGTCGGAATCCAGTGCTGATTATTAATAAAAAAACAAAAAGAAAAATTTAATCTCCAAAGCTGACTGAACGTCGACACGCACAGATCCTTCATTGGTTGTTCTGGTAGTTGTGGAGCATGGGCGAGGAGTCAATAGCACTCTACCATGAAAACTGGAAATGACTCCTCGACCATGAACCGCCCGATTAATGATGGACAGTTATATATGCCTGAAGATCCGCCCATTGAACGCCCAGCAAATTATAATACACACGTACCCTTTGATTTACCGAGACATCAGCTGCATTGACTACTAAACAAGTACACTGATTCACTCCAGAAGTTTCACAACGACAACAAATTGTCTTTATCACACTCGCTCATCCAGCACGCTCTGATTTTTCCTCAATTTTTCAACCACAAGCCTTCACGTTTTTTTTTCATATCTCTCGTAATAATCTTCTTCCTTCGAGTTTCTTCTCAGTGAAAACAACAGTAAGAGAAGGGAAGCAAAAAAATGTGAAGTAATTCTATATGCGGGAGAACCATACAGCAGTGCATTTATTAGAGACAGCTAATTGCTGACAATTAAAAAAACAGCTTGTGTACAGAGACTTTCATTTCATTCGTAATTGAAACGTCGTTTACCATCGAAACGGAAGCCATAAGCAGCGCTGTTTGGGGCTCCCACGAGAGCTGGATTCCGATAAGCATGAAAGGATCCGTGAAGATGGGGCGGTCTTGCGGCATTTTCTTCCTCTGATTGCGGTGCCTTGTGATAGAATGCCTCGAATTTACCGGGTGGTAAAAGTATGTCCTTCAAAGATTTATCCATTGGATCATAACAGAACACCGGAATCGCCGCCGACAAAATGATCATGAGCTGTATGGGAAATAAGTTAACAAATTAATTCTGACTTATTATCAAAATGAAATCTTGTACTCACTATCTTCATGTTCCGTTTGATTTCCCCAATGCATTTAATACTCTCGTTATCCGGCAATTAATCTCGCATGTGATCAAGTAATGATTGAGCCTCTTCTATTTCACCAGCCGATCTACTTTGCGTATCACAATGAAATATCACTATTGAGACAATAAAATAGTAATAGTGGATCGACAGAGGAGATTCGTTGGTCTCAGCTATTCGCGGGAGAACCAATGGAGCAAAAGTGAAAGTATCGCCCAGTGGGAGAATATGTCGATGTCCCTCAACGTGTCATTCACACAGTTGGTTGAACATGGTATCGAAAAGAAACATTTTACTTAACAGCTACGACACTTGATACGTAAACCAGATTGAAGTTTGATCTTGGAAATTAAAGCGGAAATCAAATGAAAGTGCATGTACGTGGCTGATGAGAGGGGCCTTGTGGTCGAGACTGAAGATCGACTCTCCCTTGGGCTAGGATTTTCATTAGCTTCTGGGTACTCCAAGGCGAAAGCACCACAGTCGGCTGTACCAGTTTTCCAGAAACTGGTTCGCTAGAGAATAACTCGTAACCATCGCATTTTGAGTCTTATGGCTTTATTAATAAGCGATTTTAATGGAGAATTTATTTACGGGAGACTATCCTCTAATTTTCTTCTGAAAAAAAAAATCATGAAATTAAATCTGTTGTTGATTTATTTCATCTAGATTGTGATCATAATCCTTTAGCTTATCATATTTTTTTATATGATATATTTATATTAATGAATATATTCCATGTAGTTATATGTATACATATAGATAGAATTGTTTAAAAATATCACTGGGTGAAATAATTGGCTTTCAAATGCCGATTGAGCTATTATCGATTTAATAGTTTATTCACTAGATGATTCATCTTGCAATACAAAACAAGTTGTGATGTCTTTATGATTTTCCAGCATGAACTAAGTTTTTAATCGACTTGGAATTCATGAGGAATTTGTCTATAACTCTCGTGTTTTCTTCGTTCAATTCAATGATTAATGATAACTTTCAATCATTATATCCAGACATTCTTCATTTATCACACAGATTGCACAGCAAGTTACTTTCCACTTAAACTTACAGTTTTCATTGTTCTTGATTATAATATATAAGGGCATACAATTATATTTTGGTTACTCAATAAGTACGGACATGGCAAAGCGTAACTCAGCATCAATGCACCGAAACCGCGGATAGAGTTTCGATGCGGAAGATTAGAGAATGGAATGTGGAACGTAAAGTAAAGCTAAGAGTAATTTCGATTTTTCATCGACATAGGGGAGGGTGTGACAATATGGACATATATGGTAAAATGGACATTTTCCTCGATTTTTTTTCATAACACAAAATGGGAAATACGCCAGTTTGGCTTCCTGTTCACTTGGGACAATTTCCATAGTTAAGAGAAAAATTAAAATGTCCATAAGGTTTACCCATTTTTCATCATCCTAAGACTATTTGAACGCCGTTTCATGTCAATGGGAATACGTTTTCCATCTCCAGAATGCAATTATAACATCCATTTCCATTTCTTGACATTATTTAAAAACTATATCTCCATTACCCCACCGTCCCCTATATATATTCGTATGCTTTCATCACTTAAATTACTGAGTAAGGAAGGTTTAAAATTCCTGATTGACACTCATTCATTCATTGAAAAGCTAGGCGTATAAAATTGCAAAGACTTACTCTAATTGACTAAATAAAATGTTGGATTTGTATAAATATTTACACCTGAACTTAACTATTTTATGTTTCCGTTGATTTCCAGGCACTGTTACAATCATCGTTTTGAATTTCTGTGATGTTCAATTACCAGAGGTACCGAATATTCAGCATGATTAATTTTTTAATAATTTTGAAAGATGATAGATTGATTCGTGAACAGATGTATGATATCTGTTGTAATCAGTGGCATGCACAGACAGGCTCATATCCTTCAAGTCTCACTTATATTATATGTACAATGATACTGTTGGAATTGATAACAACCGAAGGTAACTCAAACTGAATACAGATAAGAGTCTAATTTAGGTTTGGCATTTGGAGGTGATGTAAATGGAGAGAACCAAGCCACTGAAAATCTACCGAAGACAGCTTGAATGGACTTCCATCTGCTATTGCGCACCCATCTGGCCTCCTCCTTCTTCAACTGCTCGATCCCCTGTTAATATGTACAATTCCATTAGTACTAATCGTCCTAATGAAATTATGTTATCGATCCTGAGCATTACCGTTTCATCATTCCATATTGCTTGTAATTGCGTGCCTAACATGACAGCGGTGAAAATGGCGAAGAGGAGTGCCTCGAAGGTGAGAAATAGTAACAGTACAACTGTTGCTGGTGGACTGAATGTCGAGCATTCACGCCACTCTTGTCTCACGCACGTTGTGAATTGTTGGATGCAAAGAAATAACGATTGCAGTGAAATTCCAGCGATGTAAAACTATAAATCAAAATGGAATAGTTGATAATGAAAATTACCAAATGAAGGATTTTAAGTTAAATGAAAAATTGAAGAATCTATTTAGTTATAGTAATCTCAATTGAACTCACAGTAAAAAGTACAAAATATTTTTGATTATTCTCCCCAACGCAATTGTTCACCCAAGGACAATGATGATCCATTTTCCTGATACATCTGGAAGAGAAGAATTTCAATGGAACAGAGAGCTCTCACAATTATCACGTCAGCTTTCTCACCTCTGACAAACAGAACAGTGATGGGCCCTGTCGGGTTTAATGGAGCAGCATCTCTGGCATTTGAATATCACCTGGCCCTCTCGAAACCCCATTTGTTGAATCATTTCTTTGGTTGCATTGCCTTTTGGCACAGCTCCCTAAAAGCTCATGAAGTCGTTAAACAATACACCTGAGAATATTTCTTGCGACAATTGAGGATTTATGACTTACTGGATCAGTGAACATTGTCCTAAGATGTGAGGCGAAGGCCAAAAATGCCATAGTTTGAAAAATAGCCATATTTAAACTAGAATAGAACGTGTGAATCGTAGGAATGAGAATAACAGCCATCACAACGAATTCTGCATAAATTATGAGCAGCCATGTTAAAATGGCACATATTACTCCACATATATCCTGTAAGCAGTGAATTAGGTGAAAGATTTTTCGCAAGTGCGGATTACAGATAAGAAATTGCTATTCACCTTGATACACCAAAATTTTCCCCCGCAGCATCTATTATGAATATCCCTCTCTCTTTGAAAGGGCATGTACTCATAATCCATCGCTCCGATCTTATTTTCACTCTCATAAATCTGAGAAATTCATTTTCACAGTGATTTCAACGGCCCATTAACAATCAAATCATCAATTCCTTCAAACATTCACTGTAATAGAATTAAAAAAACATCATTATACCTTTCGCCGTATCGTACCCATTGATCAACAAGTAAGCTCATGAAATTCAGCGATTAAACAGGAATGAACGCAATAGTACCAAGATCACTAGTCATACATTCCAATAAATCGAAATCATAACGAAAATTATGCAATTCATACGGCGTGAATGTTTGGGGAGAGGGTAGTTGTATGAATAAAATTCAATTAATAATATAACCTAGATGTTCTGACAGCAATAACTCACAGTGTCAAAATCGATGGATGATGATCATTCGTAAAAAGATGAAACGGTTAACACCATTAGTCGGCATATTTAATTAACGGTAAAGGGAATCAATAATCGCGAGTACGTGATAAAAATGTAATTACTTCTGACAACTGTCACCAAGATATCGCCTTTTAGACGCCAGTGGAGTAGTGTCATGAACTTATGCTCCGACCAACGAGGATGGCAAAGAGCAAAGAGGATAGACTAAAGTAGTGGCTCAGTTCAGGGGGGTTGAGTAACCCCACAGGCATCGTCGTATCTCACCCCAAGAGAGAGAGGGCGCCACGTGCTCCCCTGATACATTTTTGAAAATTTCGAATTTTTCAATTCCAGTGAATACTTCATCGATTTTCATGTTCCCCTGATACTTTCATAAAAATTTTGAATTTTCAACTTTCACTGAATACCTCCTCGATTTTCATGCTCTCCTAATACTTTTTCAAAAATTTCGAAAATTCAAATTTCAGTGAATACCTCCTCCATTTTCATGTCCCCCTTATACTTTTCGAAAAATTTCGAAACTTCCAATTTCAGTGAATACCTCGTCGATTTTCATGCTCCCCTGATATTTTTGAAAATTTTTCGTTTTTTAATTGCAGTGAATACTAATTTCGTGACCCAGAAAATAAAACTCACGCAGTTGACTGGTACCTCTGACAGCGGGACTGCTACTGAGGCAGTTAGTGCACGGCGTATCGCCTGGCGACCCCCCACTCGAGCGGTCTTCTGTGCGCATGCAGGGTGTTCTGTGCGCATGGGGAGTGTTCTGTGCGCATGGGGAGTGTTCTGTGCGCGTGCGCGGAGT